CTAAGCTGCCTGGGAGGGGCAGAGACCAACAACTCCAGGCAGGAGAAGGCACGATTAGCAGAGAAATTCAAGACTGTAGATTTCAGAATTCTGGAGAATCAGGTGAGAGTCCCATGGGTGACCTAGGTGAAAGTCCGCCTGTACTCCAGGGATTTTCTTTCTTCTGACAGGTATGGTTAGTCTGTGTTTGCTTGCCCCTGGTGTCCAAACTTCCCTTCAGTGTCTTCCTGAATGAAAAAGGGACTAGGTCGCAAACCTGGGCACTATCTGGGATACCTGACAAGCCCAGTGACCAAAAAAACCACATGGATGGTCTGATCCTAAACTCCTGACTGGGCAAACTATGGCAGGCAGTCATGCCCCAGGCCTATCGCTTCCTTAGCAAAGGCCAGTTTTCACCGTAACTGAGCTCTGTCCATTGCTCTTATGCATGTAAGATAACCTGCCTAAGAAATGTCAGAGTAATTTTCTTTTCTAGACCCCTCAATGCAAAAGCACAAGGCCGCATTGTTATCTTGTTCCCCACATACCATCTCCATGTGCTATAAATGTTAACTATCCTATACCCACTGATGTGAATGAAGCAGGTGTTTCTCCATTTTGTTTTTTATCCAATTTTACAGATTTTCCCTGCTTTGCTTCCTTAACCTACCACCAATGGATTTCCTGTAATCTTCCTTACATTTTCTCCTTCGACTCTAATGTATAAAATAAGCTGCAAATATATAAAATAAGCTGTAAAAACTTGCTATTTGGGGAGCATTTTCTCCATCCTTTGACATCTTGCTTCTGGGCATGTCCTTAAAATTTGGTTCAAATCAACTCGAATAAAACTTTCCTATAGGCTGGGTGTTCTTTTGTTGACAGTCTCAACGAATCAGAAGCTATTGGTTCTGACAGCAGCTCTAGAGGTTATCTAGCCCAATCTCTTCAATGTGGAGAAAACTAGAATGCTTTCTCTTTGTTTCAGCAGGTCATCTTACCACTCAACACGGATGACAGTTATTTCCCTTGATTGCAAAACCCAGAAAAGAATCTTCCAGTTATTGTGTGCATCCTCTGAGAGCCCTTGTCAAACCTGTCTTTCATATTTATGCCATTTGCAGCACCCCCTTTTGTGGTAGAGGCATGTGGGTGAGCAGGGGTTTGAGAGCTGCAAACAGAGACTACTGTAGCCTGCCTGTTCTTCTGCATCTTCCCCTGGAAAGCCCCAGTGTCTCTGCCATGTTCAAGGCCAGCAGCCATCCATTTTGTCTGCCAGGCTCCTTATCAGCCTGACCCACTGGCGGTCAAAGCTAAGCGGACTCTTTCACCTCCCGGCTGCTCATCTGAGACACACGATGTGTGGAGAACAGGCTGCCATGCAGAGAGGAACCAAGATGTTTCCTCTCAGAGCGTAAGCAGATGAGGAGGAGCAGCACGGGCATGCTAGGAGCACCCCGGGATCTCCTGCCCTTACTCTCCGTTTGGGATAGCAAACATCCGAGCTCTGTGGCTTCCTTGTGGCAATGAGCAGAGGACAGGTGGGGAATGCCACAGAAAGGGGAACAAGTCCCTGCTCTTCTGCTGCATGCGTAGGGGGCTGGTGAGGCTCACCACACTGCTCACTCTCTTCAGGGACCGACCGGCCAACTACACAGCCCATCTTCTGAGCTCCACCCTCTGCCTTCCCCTCCACTTTTTGGAACCAAACCCCTGATATTGAGAGCATGGTAGGTTCCCATAGCAATGGGACTTTTAACTGTTTCCATGGCAACCAACACCCAGACCATTTAGTTGCTAGTCAACTGACAGCTGTAAATGAATAGGATTCAGTTTAGAATTCAAGGGATAGGCCAGGAGATTCTCTTCTTAGAAAGAAAAAGGCACAACCACCCAAAATGACTCAACTTGTCTAATGATTCTTTAAGGCAGCATCTGTAGAGATCCAGAGCCACTTTCAAACTCAGGTCACACACCACTGCCCATCCCATCACACACACACACACACACACACACACACACCTAAACTGAGTATCCCAGGTCTTTAAACACCCAAAACCCTAGTTCCTGTTCTGTGTTTTCTCCAAAGGGCTCGTGGGAAAACCACTTGTCTAAGATGACTATTATGATGGTGACATTTCTCACACATAAAGCTTTCCTCTGGGTCAGTCTCTTCCTGTGTACCACAACCCTGTCCTCATAACCAACCCAGTCACGTAAGCAACACTGGCTTTTTGGATTATCTGATGTGAATGTCTATTTCCAGATCATCTTCCCTGAGCCTGAACCACACCTGTGTCCAGCAACCCTCCCTACATTGTGGATGTTCTCAGAGAACAGACTGTTTTATCAACCTTTGCAAAGCATCATTAAGATGAATTTGTTTCCTTTAAGAAGTCAACTGAGATTTCAAGTCCAAGGACTGGAAATTATTCCATGCTTTTTGCTTTTTATTGGCCTGATGTGACTAAATGCCAGGCCTCCCACCTAGCACTCCACCAAACTGGGGATACTAGGTATTGTGCTCTCTTTACTCTGTAAGCAGGGGTGCCTCTCATTTATTATGATTATTTTTTAATGATTAGAGTCTGGAATTCATACAGGAGAGATGTTTAAGCCTCCGTGGCTTGCTCAGTGGATGAGAAAAGTATGAGACTCTCGCTGGGAAGAACATGACCTTTTTTATAGAGCCTGAGATTCAGTGCTTCTCCATGTTTTAATGACTCCGGGGGCACCTGTGAACAATCTGTACTGAAGATGACCTTTCAAACTAATCCCCCCTGCAGGAGCACTAACTAGCTCACCACTGCTGGATCCACGTGGCCTCACATTGGCCGGTAAGCAGGTATAAGCTGTCGTGTTACCCTTCTGCTCTGACTGAAGGGTACAGGTTGGCGGAACTATTCTTCTGTTGCGTCCCAGATGAAGGTGGGAGTATGAAGTGCAGGGCAGGTAGCCTTTAGCCTCAAAGGAGCTCAATGACATGAAGAGTCTCCTGGGGATGGGAAAGAGAGCAGACACACCTGAGAACTGAGCTTTCCTGGGCACCTCACAGAGTTCCATGCACAGAGGACAGCCTCATCTTTCAAGGGAAATACCACACAGCAGACTGCATTTGACATTCCTGATGTTTCCAGGTGAAGAGCAATGCCTGTCTCCCAGAGTAACTGCTAACATGTACTAAGTCTGTGCTATGCGCCAGGGATCATTTTACACGTTTTACATGCATCCTTTCATTTAATCCTCAGAGCCCTATTGTAATTATCCCTATTTAACAGGTAAGAGACTGAAGCACTTGAGAGCACAGGGATTTATAAAGATCGCACTGGTGGTCTTTTTAATTGGGGAAACCAGGATCCAGCTACTGGCATTTGGAAGTCGGTGACCACAGAATCCCTTTGGAATTCTTACAAGTCTGACATACCCAGGGTTCGTCAAGGGGAGGCAGCGTGGGCTGTCCCTCTGGTCAGCATGTGATGGGATACACAAAAGGTCTTAGCCACAGAGGTCAGTGGTTGAATGGCTCCGGGAGTTAACTAGAATATCTTGGCTGTTGATAACTTTATTCCCGATCCCTGGCTGTCCCCTGGTGGCTTTCCTGGGAAACTCACCAGCCAGAGATCCCAAGTGAAATGAGTGGGGTGAAAAGAACTGGACCAAATGACTTATTTGCGGTACAAACACCCTAACCACAAACAGGTAAGCCTTTCAAGGTCCACATTACTCAACTCACTGTGACTAGCAGGTGCTCCCCGTGATGGCTACAAGCTGACTGGCAGTACACTGATTAAAACGGGCAGCAAAATCTATGTTCCCATGATTACACTTGTACTTCAAAAGCAGGAAATAACAAGATTTAATTAATGTAGCCATTACTTGCAACTTCACGTGTCATTTTTAAGCTTCCAGGCTTGCCTCGTGGAAGAAGGTTCCCAAAAACTACTACACTTCACGCCAACTTGCAACCAAACTCCTCACCGCCCCTTCCCGCTTCAATTCAGTTCCCTCGACCTTTCAGATGTTATTATTCAACTAGGTGATGTTGGCTTTCACGGCTTATACCACTTGGTGGTATAAAATTATGCAAATAAAGCAGAACAAGGTCACTTTCTACAAAATACTAGTAGATAGGTGAGGTCTAACTGGGCAAAAGGGGGCACATGGCAGTTTCTGAGAGCTGTCTTTACTGCTCTCTGGGACCATGGGCCTGAGTATCCACCTTCCACGGGTCTGGGGAAATACTCTGAAGGACGCTCAGGTGTCCTAAGCATAAATGCAGAAGACTGCCAGGCTTTTATTTATTCCAAGGGACATTTCCAGGTGCACAAAGAAGTCAAATTAAAATGTCAAAAAAAAAAAAAAAAAAACCACACCAAAACCAAACATCTGCTAATCAAGTGTTGAATTTAATGAAAACCGCCTAAGACAAAAGAGAAATGAGATAACCACGGAGAACCAGTCACCCCCAGAGTTGAGTTTCTGTCGCAGACCACCTCCCTCTCTGCTGAAATGCGGGACGCCACTGGAGACCAAGTCATTACTGTTGAGGCAGTGGAGCTGGAGGCGCTGTCAAGAGTCAGCAGGCTTGTGGCTGACTCAGTGATGCTCTGAACTCAATGAGGCACTTGGAGATGTAACACCCCAGCTAGAGGAATGTGGTTTGGAACCTGTCCTCCGCTACGAGGGCCAATAATGCCAGGGAGGTTATCTAATATCCCTAAGAACCTCACTCCGCTGGACCCTCCTTATTCCAACAGCATAAAACACTGAAGACAATTAAATCAACCCCTACACACTCTCTTCTCTCCTTCAACCCTTTTACAAAATATATCACCAGGGCAGCAGTTCTAAGCTCTCCGGAAACAGTGTCTGAGATACAGTTGGAGGCTGAGAGGCATAAACAGTAGTTTAGAAATTCCTTTCCTCTTTTGGCACTGATTTAGGTTAGACTTGCTTTCTCCTCTCCTCCCTCCACTCATGCTCTCATCCCCAGACAGACATACTGGCATCAACTAGCTCTAGTTTTCAAGCTGTACTGGGATTTCCCAGCAGAAGAGACTCTCGTCTTTGTCATCCCGAAGTTCCCACTTCACCACCAGTTTTATCTGGAGAAAGAGAAGAATTGGGAAAAATGAAATTAGGATCTCATCTCAATCAGCACTGGTTTAACTATGAATCCTAGGAGTACAGTAAAATAAACGGCCTAATTCCTCATGCATTTTTTCTTAAGTCACAGCATCAAGAAAGCTGTTTGGGAAGTGGACACAGCCTGTGTATTTAAACTTTAGATAACTTAATCCTAGTTAACTCATCAAATATAATTTATAAAGCCTTTTTTCCATAAATGAAGGTTTACATAAAAAATAAATTTTACACTTAAACAATTTCTCTTGTATTTGGCAATCTGATTCAGCTTTTTCCAACTGTAACCATGAAGAGCAGAGATCATTAAGTATAAGGAAATTTACTTATTAAGCTATCAAAGCAGAAAGGATGTCCAAAGAAGTTTACTGTCATATGAATAATTTCAGGAACAGCAACCCTTGTAGCATATGGTTTCAGTTAAATTCTCTAAACTGCTTTTTAAAAAATTGATTTTAGAGAAAAAGGGGGGGGGGGGGGAGAGAGAGAGAGAGAGAGAGAGAGAGAGAGAGAGAGAGAGAGAGAGACTGATGTGTGAGAGAAACACTGATTGGTTGTCTCCCACACGTACCCTGACTGGAGATTGAACCCAAGACCTTTTGGTGTACAGGATGAAGCTCCACCAAAAGAGCCACAGCGGTCAAGGCTTAAACTACATTTTTATTTTATATCTCATTAGAGATCTCTGCTTTGGCTTGCTATACTCATGCTATAAGCTCTCCATTCTAGTTCTTTTTTTTTTTTTTAGTTCTTAATAAATTACTGACACTTAGCCAGTCCTTTCTTATATGGACATTAGCTTTCTTGTTTTTACCTCTCTTTTGTACTCAACTGCTTCTTTACAAAACATTTGAATGACAGTGATACCCAGGTTTCTCTAAACTTGGTTTGTAAGTTTTTAAGAACAAGTACACATTAACTACTGTTTCCCTTAGTGCTTACATTAACATAGCTTAAGCTGTTTTTCAAATAAATTTAATTCCCTTAATAACTACCACATAGAAAGTGCCTACTATGTATCAGACCCTAACTAGATACTCTGTATAAATAACTGAGGCTCTGAAACGCCCACAATTATAAGGCTACTTTGCATATTAATCTATAAACCTGTAGGGTCTCTGACATCCCTTACACATGGACTCCCTACATTAGAGACTTTTTAGGATGTTCTTAATTACCTTAATTTCTAGAAAATAAATGGCCAGGTTGCTCCTGGGTTCTATTTGATTGGAAAAAAGTAATCCCTTTACTTCCTCCATTCTTTTCAAGATACATATTTTTAATACATGTCCATTCTAGCAGGCTCTATCTTATGAATGTTTAGTAGAAAAAAAAGTAGGCATAGCAGGGGAGTCAGAGGTGAAGGTAGGTAGAGGGCTAGGATTAGGGTTAGAAAGAAGGCAGAAAGAAGAGTGGAAAAAGCTATTTCTCTGCTATGGACCTAACAAGCTATTTCTCTCTTGTTAACAGATTAATGAAGAAACCTAGATTTTCTGATGATAACGCTATGACAAGCTTGAATTACTTGATATCTGGCTAAAATCTTTTGACACTTTACAGGTTTTGAAATCACAAGACTTGGCTCTAAGTCTAAGCTGTAATATTTCTTTGCAGAGTGGACTCTGTTCATATTGCATAATACTGGAGCCTCAAATTTCTTCATCTGTAAAAAAGGGATAATACCATCTCTACAAAGGGTGGTCCAATGAAATATCGTGTATAAAAATGGCTATCCATTAGACTATAGACAAAGAACAAAGGGGCACTAAAAAATACCTGTGCATCTTGTGATTCCTAACACTCCAACTTATCTCCTTCCCTCAGGCACCTTTCCTTCAGAGCAGGACTCAGCTCCACTCTTTTCTTCCTGTCCCCCCCTGACCCCCCAAGCTATCCATCTCCGTGTCCTCAGCAACAAGGCCACTTACTGAGGGGTACGCACTCTTCACTGGCAGTTTGGCCATGTAGTTGTAAGTCTTGTTTTTTTCGATGGGGCAGGTGACTCCACTCTTACAACCGTCAGGCTCAGGAATGGCAAAGGCAATGGGGACGCCCATCACGATGCCATGTACCACGGCTTTGCTCCCTTGAGACTGAGTACCTAAGAGGAGAAAAAAGAGAATAGTGATAGAAACAGCCTATTTCTAAACTCTAAATAAAAATCCAGACATATTCTCAAGCAACAGCATTGCTATGATAGCAAATCATAACGTCTGCAGCTCTTCATTCCTAGGGCCTATTTCTCTTTGTAGTTATGCTTTGTACCTCTGTGAATGCAGAGCAAGCATTCACTGCAAAACTTGAAAAATTACTGAATTACGCAACAACAACAAAAAAGGGTATCAGTGCAAAAAACACAGAGAATTGTTTTCTTTGCTCTTTATCCAACCTTGCCCCTCCCTGCCTTTCATAGTTTCTCAGGAGAATCAGAGCTACTGGGAAAATAATAATCTCATTCAATAAAGTAATTGAATTTTGGCCGTTAACTTTCTATTTACTATTTCCATCAGCTTCTGTCAAAGTGGATTATGTATTCTAAAGAGTTTTAGGAGACTGGTCTCTGAATTCTCAAATACTCCCACACAAAGGAGTCCATTAGAAATTCAGAATAAAATAGGAGGCAATGCAGAAAGAAGGAATACAGAATCTATATACACACCATGCACTGTAGCACTAGAAAAAGAGGTAACCCTTTAGAAATTGGGTAAGATTAGAAAGAGGTGCATTTCTTGCTAAGTTCTACCCTCCACATAAAAAGATGGGTAGGCGGAATAAATATAATAAAATAAGGGCAACCAGAATTACGAGCTGTTAGGTCATTCTGGAGATCGCGAGTATTGGCTCTGCTTTCTGGGTGCTAGTCAGCTCTGCTCTGCACCTCCATGTCTGCTTTGCTCTGCTTCCTGACAGTCTGCTCTGATCTGCTCCTTCAGCTCAGCCGGAAGACCCATTCTCCAGTCTTCCGTGCAATGGGAAAGTGTGCTTTGATAGTTCTTATTAGACTGTCTAATCTAGTTCCAAAGGATAGAAAATAAAAGAAGGATTCAGGGTAGATACCTTCCTAGAAATAAAGATTATGCAATTATCTAGATTCCTAGAAATCTGAAGGTGATGAATGTATAATAGTACCAGAAAGCAATAGGTTTCAATATTTCTTGAAGTTGAAGCAATTTCTCAGATTTCTTGATTGCTTCTTGGGTCCCCACTGAGTTCCCTAAACCTAAGTATTAATTACTCTTGTATTCTGAGGCAGAACATACACTTAACAGCTAGAAGGTATATTGCCTAAAATAACATTTGGAGGAGTTCCAAAGTCTACAGAATTGGGGTCTGTACTAACACTCTGCACTCTGTAGCTAAACAAGAGCTGTCATTTCCATAAAAGCCTACTGTGCAACATGGTCCGAAATAGGGCACAGAGAGCCAAGCTGTCTTCTCTCACCTGTGAACACATGGAAATCTCTTTGCTTTGAGGGAGTCTGGAGTTTGGGAAACAGGCATATGGGAACCGCGTATGAGAAGGATGTCTAAGGATGTAGCGAATCCTAGCCATACACAGGCTGGAAGGGGGAGAGGAGGTATCGGTGTGGGGAAGCACGGGATTTGGTTGGAATGTCTGTAAGGAGGATTCTCTCAGGGGACCTTGCCGAAGGTGGCAGTCCTTACCTTGACTTTTCCAAACAAGTCTGATCTCCCGGGGTGTTTTGCTAGAATCTCTATGTTTAGTTTTTAAGGACTCAACCTTAAAGAGAAAGTAGAAGCACATACTTTCTCAAGGATACTATATCTACTTACTGTATCTAGAGATTGATTTTAGTTCAAGCTGTTAAGACAATAAAAGCCAGAGGAGGCAGGCGAACAGGGCTACTCGGCGGTGATAGCCAAGCAGTGCCTTAGCCCTCTCTTTCACAGAAGCGTGTGTTAGAGTAATCCTTCACCCACCGTTCAGGGTCTTCAGTCAGCCCCAGCATGGCATCACAGAATTCTTGACTGCAATTCCCCTCCCCCATCCCCATGCTCATTCTAATACTTGAAACTGGTGTTATGTTTAAGATGAAGCTGAAATTAGGAGCCACTTTTACTCACTACTGGTGAAGGTGACATTGACCGCATAAGAATGTCCTTTCTGCAGATGGCAGGGCTGAACGGGGCATGGGATCACATTCACTTCCTTTATAACTCCAACCCCGGAACCTGCAAAAAAAGAAAAATAAGTTGAAAAGGGAGAAAAAATAAAGCACATAGGCTGTCCCTACCTAATGTGAAGATGCTCTTTCTTACTTGACTACCTATGATCTCCAGGGAACCACTCATATTTGATGCCTGAAGGGCAATTAAGGAAATTATTAAGTTTATATACCAGTAGCCACTCCATCGCTCTGTAACCTGGGAGGTCTATACCATGAAAAATCACACGCCCCCTCCCCATTCCTCCCCTGGCCTCCCCCCCCACCCCCCGGGGGGCAGCCCAACTACACACAGTATTTTAAAACAACACACACAACAGACAAGTGATGGCTCAAGTCCCAGCACTACTGCTTCCATTTGGAATCTTGACACTGGCTGCTTCCAAACTGCCCTCCCTCACCATCTTTCAATCCAGTATTGGTATCTCTTTAAATTAGTGATCTCCAAGCTTTGTATACGCCCACAAGTAAGAACTTTAAGCATTCATCTGCAATATACAGATGTGTACACTCCACTTTGGAAACCTGTGTTCTTCAAAGTAAGTATTTTGGGAGCAAGGTATGCGTCCTTTAAAAAAAAATTTAGTCTGAAAAAGGACGCAAGTGCTGTTTGTTCACAATAAATGTTTGATCAGAAACGTTAGGTACAAATCCCATCATCTCATTCAGGCCCCAATACGCTGAGTGGGAGAGAATGCAAGTGAACTGCCTGTTAACACTGCCTGTAACAGGTAAGAGCAAGCTCTGCAATTCAGCCACCACTGCTGAGAGGTAGACCGAGACCTGATGTCTGGGTTTGAAATCTTACCAATCTCAACAATGGCTCCATTACTTACTGTGGGAACATAGTCATGCTATGCAGTATGTTCCCTTTATCCACAGTTCTCCTTCTGCGGTTTCAGTTACTCATGGTTAACTGTGGTCCAAAAAGATTAAATGGAAAATTCCAGAAAGAAACAATTCATAAGTTTTAAATTGAGAATAGCATGTGTCACCCAGGACATGACTCACCCCTTTGTTTAGCAAGGCACTTAGCATCTGACTGTCCCCGTATTACAGGGCTTGTGTTCAAGTCACCCTCACTTTACTTAATAATGAGATGGTCCCCAAAGGACAAGAGTAGTAATGCTGGCAATTCATATATTTATATATGCCAAAGAGAAGCTGTATAGAGCTTCCTTTGTGTGAAAAGGTATGTACTACTATGTATAGGAAAAAACATAGCATATACGGGGGGAAGGAGGAACAAAAGTAGGTTTACGATTGTAGGTACACAAAACACAGACTTTATTCTTGTATTACTATTTATAAATTATTGTATCATTTCCTATATGAACACCTGCAAACCTAGTTTTTCCCACCTTGCATAGGGTTCGGTGCTATCCATGGTTTCAGAAATCCACTGGAGTTCTTAAAACATACTTCCCATGGATAAAGGGAAGCTACTGTATAATTTTTTTTTACTAATTATTTTAATCATAGCAGCCTTCAGTCCATACATTTAATCTAGAATAGCTGCTCCTGGGCGGATTAGCATGTTCCCTTTTGCCACACAAGGTGGGCATCTCATCTCAAATATACTTTGTGGGTGGAAATTATGGACCCAGGAGATAGAACACTCTGTCTCTAAAGTAGAATGCATGAAGACAGAAAGCAAACTGAAGGCTGAGAGCACGTTATCTGCTTTGTAGTCACCAGGTTAGCGCCGTCCTGTAGGATAGGAACTGAGAAGCTCAGGTGGATGGACTCTGCTTTCTCAGCCTGAGTCTGCTCTTGGGTGTAACAGACATCATACCGACCAACTCTGCTCCAGCTAGTACCTCATCCCCAGCTTGCTTCCCCATCATGGCCAAGTTCTCAAACTCTAGACTCGAGAATTCTCTTCTCTAAGCACTCTGTTCCACTCTCTCATAACCTCTATAGATGGGGGAATGGGGTAAAGGGGAGAGATCCAGAACTTTAATCAACAACCTATTGAAAACCAGTGCTTATACCAAAGCTTTCTGAATTTAGCTTTTCTGCCTGCTTCTTTCAAGGCTGAGTCACATGGTGCAGAAGGAACTGAGTAAAGGATAATACTTGTAGCTCCTTCATCCACTTTTTCAGCCGACAAGAGGTTCTTGCACTTCCAATGTCAATAGAACAAACTCTGCGGTCCTAACCTGCAAAAATTGCAAAACCTGTTTGCTTGGCTCTATTTCTCACTTGAGGAGATGCCACTCCAGGGAAAAGAAGCCATACAGTCGAACTCAAAAAACTTTCGATGTGAGCACTAGAGTCTTCACATTGTATTTCCCAATTCAAAAGTAAATTGAAAATCTGTAATGGAAACCCTCCTTTCCTTAAGAAGTTCTTGCCATAGGTATACACCTGCTCTTTTCAAAGGAGTAGAACAATGTTTGGATTAAAAATCCCCCCCCCACCCAAGGTTACCACTGAAACCTAAAGTGGCTCAAAAACACACATTGGTTTCTTACTGCTCACTAGTTGTGAGAATGTGGGCAAGGTATTCTATGTACCTTTCCTCATCTAGAAAACAGGTTATGAGGGTTGAACACAGCGTCTTCCTCCCAACTGGCCCCTAAATTTAATAGAGGGCAAGTTAGTGACCTGCCTTTCAAGTGTTAGTAACCTCGTTCTATGGGCAGTCTATTCCTTAATCAATCTGTTCCCTAACCCCCAACTTGGCTTTTGCTTCAACATGAATTTTGATGACAGTGGAAAGAGTATCGCCTCATTTACTTTTCCAACAAGTATTTATTAATATTTACTATTACTTGGGAACTGGATATACAGGAGCAAACTTACGCTGGTTCCCCATTCTACTCTGTTACTTTGGGTAAGTTTCCTACCATCTCTGGAATCCAGTGACTGACTATATATGATCTCCAAGTTTCCTCCCAGCTCACAAATTATATAAAATCCGTTTCGTGCCTTTCATTTACCATTATATATCTCTTCACCTCAGAAAAGCTCAGCAGGAGCAATTGCCTCTACAGACCTGACTGAACGAACTCACAACTTCTACACCCGGGCTCCCCTTTTACTTCCCAACAGGACTCCAACCACAGCGGCGAGAGGGGGGGGGGGGGGGAGGTATGTGTCACACGCTGTGGCCCGAAACACGAGATCCATAGGCAGGAAGAAATGACACCATTCCACAGCCCCCAGGGAACGCTAACGGAATTCATCGTGAAAAGGAGAACTGATTTTTGACTTGTCAGCAAAAGCTGGGTTAAAAGAGAAAAGCAAACACAGTGAGTGGGAAGGGAGAGGTCACCCAAGGTACGAGGCAAAACTAAAAAGTTCTGCGCGGCTCCCCACCCCTCCCCGCCGCGCTGTCCACAGACCTCCAGCCGTCGGCCCTACAAACTTTGGGGAAACTCCAGCAGGAGGTCCACCCATGGCCAGGGGCGTCCAGGGACTCCCCGCACGCGTTCCGAGGACAGAGACAACGCCGCGAGGGGCCGCGTTTCCTCGAGGACGGCAGTTTCTCCCCGACCCGACCCAACCCACCCCCAGAGGGGTCCGAGGCTGAGCCCGGCCGCCGACGGGGACCCGCCCCACCTCGCGCGGTTCAGGCGGAGGAGGCTCCCGCCGGCGAGAGCGCGGCACCTGCGGCGGGTCCGGGACTCACCGCAGTCCTTGAAGCGCACCGGCTCTGCCAGGGCGGAGGGGCTGAGCGCCAGGAGCAGGAACGCGGCGGCGGCGGCCAAGTAACACATCGCTGCTCAGGGACTTCCAAGCGCCGAGGAAGGAAGAAGCGGCCGCCGGAACCACAAGATAAACCTGCCGGGGCGGGGCTCGGGGAGGAGCTCTATCCGGCGACCCGACACCCGCAAACAAGGCCTCGGCACGCCCACGCTCACGCCCACGCCCCGCCCCCGGCTGCTGGGCCCAGGCCCCGGTCGGGCTCCGCCCACCCTGGCCGCTCGGCCGCCCAGAGGACTGGGATACATCTCCGCCCCGCCTCTCTCTTCCGTTCCCGGCTCAGTTGGTGCAGTTTCGCTTCCGCAGTTGGGAGCACTCCTAGCCAATGAAATGTCTCCGCTACTCGCACCACCCAATAGGCGCGCTCGGAGGCGGGGTCTCTGTGGGCTCCGCCTCCGAGGCGCTGGAGGAGGCGGGGATTGGGGAGACGCGAGGGGCGGGGCTTGCTGAGGAAGATGGCGGCCGCCAGGGGCTTGTCCCTAACGGCGGCGGCCCTGCGAGCGGCCACCCCCTGGTGGAGGAGCAGGTACCAAGTCCAAAAGGACACTGGGGGAGTGTGTTCGGATTTGTGACTCCCAGGACTAAGCGGAAACGAAGGTCCTCCGGGGGGGGGGGAGGTGAGAGGGGGGCGCGAGGCTGTCCTGGTGGAGGTCGTCGGGTTTGTTGTGAGGATAGTGCTGTGGGCGTTGTTGCCAGGTTTGGCGGGACGCTGTCCAGGTGGGGGTCGCCAGGTGTCCCTCTGCTCGTGGGCTCATCGTCCTCCCTCGTGGCAGGTTCTTCGCGGCGTTCGCCCGACCTCCGGTGCCTCGGGAAGCGTCGTCCTCCAGCCCCGAGGCTGGCGAAGGGCAGATCCACCTCACCAACAGCTGCGTCCAGGTGAGAGGGGCGGCGGGGCCCGGCCTGGGGGCCTCCCTGTGGCCCACCCTTTTGTCTCCCAGTTGCTTGGCATTCCTGATCCCCTCTTCCTGCATTCCAGAGGCTCCTGGAAATCACCCAAGGGGCAGAATTCCTCAGGCTGGAGGTGGAGGGAGGTGGATGCTCCGGATTCCAGTACAGATTTTCACTGGATACAGTGATCAACCCCGACGACAGGCAAGGAGGAAGGGAAGGGGTGTGTGGGAGGGATAAACGTTGAGTCTAGTTTCAGGTGCACTTTTATTCCAAATGTAAAAAGTTTGCTCAAGACGCGTAACGCCACCTTTCCCACACAGGGGTGGGAGACAAGTGAAGATGTTTTGTCTTGTTTCAAAAGAACCAAGTTATAGGAGGAAGATTGGCCTTCCTGGGCCCATAGGGTAGTTCTTCGGCTGGATTAGATGCCAGGTCTAAATTTCTCAACATTTCCCAATTGTCATTCCATTGAATCTTTTTTGCCTCAAAATCAGCACCTTTTGGAGGCAATAAGGAATGCTTCCTCTATTTCAGAAAACCAAGAATGCATCCCTCTCACATCAGGGCTCAGAGTGTCATGTTTTGATGTTTATGATAGTCATTAATGCTTTTCTCTTGTGTGTGTGTGTGTGTTTTTTTTCCTCCCAGGGTATTTGAACAGGGTGGGGCACGAGTGGTGGTTGACTCTGATAGCTTGGCCTTCGTGAAAGGGGCCCACGTGGACTTCTGCCAAGAGCTGATCCGGAGCTCATTTCAAGTGCTGAACAACCCTCAGGCGGAGAAAGGCTGCTCCTGTGGCTCCTCCTTCTCTGTCAAGCTTTGATGAGAGGACAGGTGACCCAGAGGTGGCTGCCATTGGTACCAATTTGAGGAACCTGGAATGAGTGGAATTTTAGTGGTTTCCTTCCAATCATGTCCCTCCCACAATTTTTTCCCCACAATCCAGGAGTGTTGTGTTTCGCCACTATTTTTTTTTCCAGAATGTGAAGCAATCTTGACTCTTGACTTCATTTCTCCTGCACAATTCTAAGGCCAAGGCTCTAAATGCTGTTACCTAAGGTTTAATGACTAGTTGAAACCCAGTGTAATTTGTAGAGCCTCCAAGGTTCCAAAATGTGAGTTATTTGTCTGGTCTTCAGAGCTGCTTGTACATATATGTATAACTGTGTATAAAAGCTTCATTTTAAAGCAAGTCCTATTTGCTTGTGTTTTGAATCAGAGTCACAGGTAAAATAGCGTGAACACTCATCACTAGGACAGAGACGATGAGAAAGGCACCCTTCCTGAATATGCTAGTTGACTTACTCTCTTTTTTTTTTTTTTAATATATATATTTTATTGATTTTTTTACAGAGAGGAAGGGAGAGAGATAGTTAAGAAACATCGATGAGAGAGAGAGATCGATCAGCTGCCTCCTGCACACCCCCCACTGTGGATGTGCCCGCAACCAAAGTACATGCCCTTAACCGGAATCGAACCCGGGACCTTTCAGTCCGCAGGCCGATGCTCTGTCCACTGAGCCAAACCGGTTTCAGCGAGTTGACTTACTCTTATTTTCTTTTCTTTTCTTTTTTTTAATATATTTTATTGATTTTTTTTTACAGAGAGGAAGGGAGAGAGATAGAGAGCTAGAAACGTGGATGAGAGAGAAACATCGACCAGTTGCCTCTTGCACACCCCCTACTGGGGATGTGCCCGCAACCAAGGTACATGCCCTTGACCGGAATCGAACCCGGGACCTTTCAGTCCGCAGACGACGCTCTACCACTGAGCCAAACCGGTTTCGGCAACTTACTCTTATTTTCTATGCAGCTCATGCTCCAATTCCCATGTGCCAGGGCAGATAGATTTTTTTATCACACTCAGAATTCTTTACTTTATTTATTTTTAAAATTTTATTTTATTTTTTTACATCACCATTTATCCCCTCTATCCCTCTTACATACTCAGAATTCAGATTCACAAAATCAAAAGCCCATCACTCAGAAAACAGACCCAACTCCCACTGATACCATAATCACTTGAAAAATAACCTCCACATTCCTACAGACATTTCAAGATTCTGTGATCATTTAGTGACTGAATCTTTTAAGGATATGTTGCTTCATTTACCTTATGGAGTAAATCGCCTCTGGTCTCACACATAGCAGAAACTGGTCCCTTTGTTGGAATAGATAATAGATACTCAGGGATTTTCTTTTAGGTTGAATTACCAGATAAAATGCAGGATACCCAGTTAAATTTTGAATTTCAGATGAACAGTAAATAATTTAAGTGTCTCCCAAATATTGTATGAGACATACTAAAAATTCTTTGTTTATCTGAAATTTAAATTTAACAGGGCATCCTATATATTTATTTCTTAAACCTGGCAGCTTCAATTTAGGATTACTGAAGTAAAAGCATTTTAAGCCACAAATTCCAATGAATTTTAAAGTTCTTATTTGGGCCCTGGGTGGGTGGCTCATTGTCCCATACACCAAAAAGTTTTGGGTTCAATTCCTGGTCAGGGCATATATCTGGGGTGTGGGTTCAGTCAGGCAACCCATTGATGTTTCTCTTCTCTCTCTTTCTCTCTCTCTCTTTCCTCCCCTCCCCCTTTCTCTCTAGAAATCAATAAAAACATATCTTTGAGGATTAAAAAAAAAAAATTAAAGTACTTATTTGAGTATAGCATTTACATAGACTAGAAATTGTTGTGGTGTGTGTCTGACTCCTGGGGGACCCAGAATTGCATGGACTGACAACTAAAAAAAGACAAAATACCACCCCCATGATAAATGATTTATAAATGCTAATATTGGGAAAGTGACTCAAGTTGATTCTGGAATAATTATTGGTTAAACCCACCTTTTCTTCCAAAGCCTACTAATAGAAGTTCATTATAGCAAAAATGTGCATTTCTGGGCTGGATTGGACCATTTCTAGACTGAATTAGAATTAAGGTCATTCAATAAAAGAATTTACCATTAAAGAATGGAAATAATAGACTTTAATGGCTAAGTATCTGAGATAGGAACTTAGATGATTACATATTTAACATGGGAAAATCTAGGACTTAGAGAAAACAAACCAATCATGTGTAGACAATATGTACAAAGAGGAAAGAAGGGGACACTCAGAAACCTGAGCAGATTTCTTAGCAGATTTTCATGTGAGGAGGCAGAAACCAGTGTACCGTGGAAGCATCTGTGTGTAACTTTACCAAGACATTGAAAATTGCTGCCAGTACCTGGCCTAATATTTTCAGCTCTATCTGAGTCCTTTCATCCTCCCTCAGAAAAGAGATCTTGCTATATTTTAAGTATTAGAAGTATTCTTCCAGAATATTTATGTGGGTTATTTATTGATTTTAAAAGTTATAGTGAGCATAAGCATAATAGCGTTAGTAGCTAACTAAATCATTGAATTATAGTGGTATATCAGGCAGAACAAGGTCTCTTAGATTGCCTATATGTAAGTACCTACTGATAGTGGGAAAACTGGCATTTCGTGTTTAGAAAGTGTATTTGGGAAAAATCACCTTATTTCACACAGAAAGCTTTATGGGGGAACCTCAGATAACCAGAAGTCTCCTTTGGAGAGCATAGGGTATGGGGACAGTGGGCAGTTTGTTGGGAATAAACAGCAATGTAAAACAGTTGTAGGATCTTTTGCAGGCACTTTCTGGCCAGATGTCCTCTTCCTGGCAGGCAATAAAAGCCAGCCGACAGTTGCACAAATTTTGCTCACTGCAGTTCATTTAGGAAAACTTACACTCTTTTAGCATCGGAAGGTAGATTTGTGTGTGTGTTTGTTTTTGCCTCCCTTTACTTTCAAGGGGAGGTTATCAAGGCCCTATTTGTTGCAGACTTGATTTTATTTAACTGTATATGCAGGCTAGTGAATGCCTGGAGCATGATGCCCACCCTTTGCTTGGCAAAACATAATAATGCAGGAACAAAGGCAGGGGAGCCCTGGATCTGCTTTATGTTGTGAATAGCTTATGTTGTTGCTCCAAAGAGGAGGCCTCTTGTCCAATGTCCAGATCTTACCTTGTGGCATGGTGCTTTAGTTATGTGATTGATAGAGACTAGTGGTATGAAAACTATAGGTTTCCCACCCTCCCTTTGCTTCTCTATGATTAGGGGAAAATAGAAGATACTCTTCTTTTTTTCTCCGCCCCCCCCTGAGAACTGAGTACTATTCTTTTGGCCTTTTGTTATAAAGCATCCTAGTGGAAGGGTGACATTGGGCAGGACCATCCTGTGTAGAGAAGTGGGCAGCACTGATGGTCATGGGATAGCTCTCCCTTAAACTCTGGCCCCGAGCTGATGGCACACAGCTTGCAGTGGGCAGGGCCTAACACTGTCCACTGCAGCATTATGGTTTTGTATGTTTGTGTCAAGCAGGAAACTCTACTTTTCTATGTATCTAGGACAAATATTAATGATTGTTTTTTAAAAATTCCTCTGCCAATTTTCTATGAAAATGCCACAGGACTGCTTAAGGGAAGTTTGCTTTAAGAAGTTTTGAATCCTAGCTGGTTTAACTCAGTGGATAGAGTGTCAGCCTGAGGACTGAAGGGTCCCAGGTTCGATCTGGTCAAGGACATGTACCTCAGTTGCATGCTCGATTTCCTGGCCCTGGTTGGGGTGCATGTGGGAGACAACCATTCTATGTGTCTTCCTCATATCATTGTCTCTCTCTTTGTGTCTTTCCCCCTCATTTCCACTCTCTCTAAAAAATCAATGGAAAAATATCCTCAGGTGAGGATTACCGTAACAAAAAATAAAAGTGAATTTAAAAAAAGTTTTGAAATAATTATTATCTGGCTTTATTTGTAAAATATAGTCAGGTAAATATATAGAGAGACAAAACATTTAAATAGTGTATGGCCAGCAGCTGTATTTAAAAATATTTTATTTTTTTGAATAGGTAATACATATAGTACAAAATTCCAAGAGACACAAAAAGGGATACAATGAAAATGTATTCCAATCCTGTACCCATCCACCCTGTTACCATTGTTCCTAAGAATTTTGCCCACAGGTATATAATCCCATAGAAATAACATGAAATAAGATTTGCACAAGAATAATAATTATAGCATTATTTCTAATAGCAAAAGTTAGAAAACAATGGAAATGTCCACCAGTAGAGGACTGATTAAATAAATTACGATTTATCCATTCCATGGAATAGTATATACTTATAAAACAGGATGAGAGAGCTCATATGTGCAAGTACGTATTAAGTGTAGAGAGAGTCTGGGAAGGCGCATGAGCTGATTGTCAGCTGAGTCCAGTGGCGTCGGCAGAGCCTTTCCTGGAAACATACCTTGGAAGAGGCAGGTATATTGTCAGCTTGACCTTTAGCTCAGGTGAAAGGGAGTAGGTTTCATTATCGAAGTTCAGCCAGGCGCCAGAAACAGACAATTATCTGGGCTCAGCCAGGAGTGACAATTACAAAGAAGTCACAAGAATGAAGAATTGTAGCTTGATCTTTAACCATGATTTCACATAATTCCCTTTGTCTTAAACTCTAGTAAAACTTCCTGGTATCATACTATATATAATAAATGCACTGCACTAGCTCTGGGTCACTGTCTCTCCATCCGAGGGCAGCGTCCTACCTGGTCCCAGCTTTACTTAAAGTCTTTGTGTCTGTCTCTTCTTTTCCTTTTCTCAATCCCCAGCCGCCCCTACTCAGGACTCGTCCACACTCTAGCCGTGCTGGCCGAGGGCCAAGAGAGAAAACTTACAATTAAGTGAAAAAAGCAAGTGTAGGACAGCATGCATAGCATGCTGTTTGTGTTTTTAGTACATAGAAATGTGTGCATATGCATGAAATATCTCTGGAAGGGCAAGCAGCGTGGTGAGTTAGGAGGAGGGGCAATGGGAATAGCATTTAGGGAAGCACAGTGCCAGCAGGGTATACTGAGGAATGGTAAGACATTCTCTGAAATATGGGGTGTAAGATGGAGTTAGCAAATACCCAATTCTCCCCTTTCTTTAGACAAATAGCAGCATGTGTTACACTTTGCTATACAACCCTCCTTTTTCCCTTCAATCTATTTTGGATATCATATCAAGGCATTTAGAGCCACTTTTTCTTTTTAGGGCTCCATGGCAATTAATAGTAATTGTTTCTAATCTTTAGCTATTACAAATAATGTTATCCCATAACCTCTTACATATGCCATTTCACATTTGGTGATAAAATAGCTGAAGATTAAATTCCTAGAAGTGGCATCACTGATTCAAAGAGTAAATACTTTTATAATATTGAAAGACATTTCCATGTCCTCTTCAGAAGTTGTATCACTTTATACTTCTGTCAGCTATATATGTGAGTGCCTCTTTCCCCAGATGCTTGCCAACTGACAAGAGTGTCTCAGGGTGGTTTAACTTGCATTTCTTTTATTCTGAGTGAAGGTCAGAATATTTCCATTTCTAAGTTGGGAATAAAAATAGTAAATGGGATTGTTGGATAATTAAATGACATTTGGGTATAGCACTCAACATTGCCTAGCACAAAGCAAGCATTCAATAAGTTATGTGATGGCTGACAATCAGAGCAGCAGGTAGGACAGGACAGATTAAATTAAGAAAATAGTATTCGTTTCCAAGTCTCCAGGCACAGGGAGCCTTGCTCATTTGCATTGCTGTTCACTAGAGGAATACAAAGTCAGAGCTTTCTCGTCTCAGAAGAATAAAGGACCTTTTCCCACCGGGACCCAATCACAGGCTACTGGCAGAGCTAGCGAGAGGTAGGCACAGCCTCCTCTCTAATATTTAGACTTAGCCAACATGGTAAAGAAATGTGGTTTCGTGTAAAACAAGAACAGAAGGTCCCGGATGTACATTTCTTTATTCTAACTAAATTCCCAGCTAGCCAAGGCTGGAGTGGGTCTTTCCTTGTAAACTTAGAGGAATGCCAGCCAGCCATTTTATGAAGGTTGAGAGGGCAGAGGCTTCTGAGAAGAGAGGAGAAACATAGAAAATCTGCCTTCTCCCCCCAAACAGGACTACGCTGTATTCCACAAGCTAGAAAGTAGATCTCTTTACTTTTAGCACATCAAACTGGTGTCCACAAAAGGAGAACCCAGGAGAAACGTGTTTTCTGTAAGGAGCATTATGTATTTAATACAGGTCTTCCGAGACAGGCAGCCTGTCTTGTGGCAGCCCTTGTGCAATGAGCTACCGCTGGGTACATTTTGAATATTTACTCAAAGCAACTGAATATTTTCTTGAGATTTGTATGAAGCCCTGGCTCCCCACCCCTTTTCTTTTTCTCAATTCCCTATATTTTTAATATTTCCCTCCTGCTTTCTCAGTCTTCTTGCTCCCCTTCATTTGTGTCTCTTACACTCAGCAAGCTAGTCTCAGTCTTGCTTTTCTGAGATGAGGGGATCTGCCCCTCCCCGGGGCCACTGAAGTGGCTGTAAGATGATGTGGCAAAATCTGGTCCGGATCAGACTGGCCAAGTGGCAGTGATGATTCTTGGTAGCAGGCGTTCGAGTCACTCCCCAGACTTTCTCTAGTCCTTTTCTGCTCCATAAGTTCTGAAGGACCATCCTAAGGCAGATGTAGCCTCTGCCCCGGTCTTGCAGTCATCAGGACGATATGTGCATCATGGGTGGAAAAGGTAGTGTAAGGCCAAAGGACCTTGCACGTTTGCACAGCTTGAGGGGGAGACTGAGGGCCATCCTTTGGCAAGCATCTCATAGTAAGGCCAGGACAGATGGCGGACTGAGCCTCGTGGCCAGTGGCTGAAGCATTAAAGCATTTGGTGGTGTATGAGCCAAGCAAAGGCATGGTGGCATGGAGGCAGTGACAAGCTCACAGCCCGAGCCTAAACTGGGAGAGATGAAAAGCAGGCAAGGCTGGCTGGGAGTGGGGCTGCAGGGCCTCCTGCCCGATGGATGACTTCATGGCATCTTCCCAGCTAGGAAAGCGTCCTCCAGGCCACTGCCTGAGGCCCATTTCCAGGTAGCTGCTGACACTGACCCCTCACTGCTACTCCTTGGCAGTGCAGTGGGGGGGCCCTGCCTCGGCCACGTAACCTGGGGAGCAGTGGCAGCGGTAGGAGCCCTCCGTGTTCTCGCAGTGACCATGGGCACAGAGTGCAGCAGGCCCGTTCAAGTCATCACACTCATTCACATCTAGGGAGAAGGAAGGCAGGAGAGTGATGGCAGGAGCCCAAGGCCTCTGGCCTGTTGCTTCTGGCCCTCTGATCTCCAATCCCGGCCCCCACCCTGCAGGGCAATCTTAGGTACAGCGGCCAGAGGCTGAAGACACTACCCCAAACTAAACAACTCAAGGACACAAACCCATACTGTGCCCAGGAGAGTGACCATACTCTTGTCCCTGCCTTTTTCTGTCTAGGCTCCTTGATGGAAAGCTTTCTGAACACCGCATGCAGCCTTGCTTTGGAGCTTTCTCACCACCCAACCTGGCGCTGGGCAGCCTCACTAGGGGGCCACAGGGGACTTACGGACCCTAGTTTAGTGGTGCATCCCTAAGGGGAGCAAGGGGCCAGCCTGGCTTTCCCACATGGCGGCATCAGGGCCAGTCTGCCTCCTGGGCATTGCCACCCTGATGCCAAACTCACCCACACAGGCCATGTGGGCCATGTCCAGCTGGAAGCCCTCGAAGCAGTCGCAGGTGTAGCCCTCCCGCACGCGCACACAGCGTCCATTCTCACAGCCGTTCAGGATGCCACACTCCTCGGCCTGAAGCCCTTCGAAGCCAGCCTGGAGTTCTGGGAGGAGGTCAGAGGAGGGAGCTGAGGCCCGGACCCAACCCCTGACCCTCATCCTCCACTACAAAGAATGGCCCCTGCTGAGTTCCTGGGGTGAGGGTGGGGAGGGTCATAAAACCTTCACAGAAAGATGCTAAAACAAAAGGCAATGCTCTTTAAAAATAAGAGTCATTTTAGGTGGGGTAGACCTTTAAATGAGGCCTCCACGAATGTTGGGATTCACTGCTTTCATAGCACCAGGGCTCCTGAGCAATGGGTATCTATATAGCTTTGGTTTTGTTGTGGTTGGTGGCAGGGTGTTTTGTTAAAACACTTTTTTTTTTTCCCCCTGCTGGAGGGTATTGGCAGCAAAAGTAGATTACTCTTACTTCACACAAAGCAAAACTACCAGGTCTGCTTAACCCACTTCCCTCTCTAAGCAACTCTCCACCCCTGAGAAAGACGCCATCCCTAATCTCATTGAGGTCTGAATCAGCCTGGGAAGGTGGCTGTGCCTGGGGCAGGTACACTGACAGGTGCCAGGCCTGACTTCCTCATTAGAATCCATCCGAGTCCCGAGTGTGGGGTCATTGCCACCAGACCAAGTCACCACAATGTGCCTTTAAGGTAATTGTAGCCCCGCCAGCATGGTTCAGTGGCTGACCATCAACCTATGAATCGGGAGGTCACAGGTTGGTTCCCAAGCCTGGTTAAGTTCAGTTTCCAATAGGGGGCATGCAGGAAACAGTCAGTGATTCTCATCATTGATGTTTCTATCTCTCACTCTCCCTTCCTCTCTGAAATCAATTAAAAAAAAAAAAAAGGGATTGTAAATCCCACCCGGCTGGTATGATTCAGTAGTTGACCATTGCTCTATGAACCAAGAGATCATAGTTCGATTCCTGGTCAGAGCACAGGCCCAGGTTGCAGGCTATACAGGAGTCAGCCAATCGATGTCTCTCATCAAAGTTTCTATCTATCCCTCTCCCTTCCTCTCTCTCAAATCAACAAAAAAACATTAAAAAAATAAATAAAAATAAATATATTTTTGTAAATCTTGAGTTACATTTCGGGTCACAAGTTTGAACTTGTAGAGCAGGCTGTTCTGTATACCTAAGGGTGAGGGAGAAAATGGGACAGTACGGTGTGTACCTGCTTTCTCTACCCGCTTTCTCCCACTCTCAACTTCCTCCCACTGGGCAGCTTTTGAGGTTGGGATGGTGATGTTCTGTACCTCTGTGTCTCCTGTGCTGATTTACCCGAAGGAGTTGTTAGGTCCAATGTGGGCATGCAGAGTTGCCCCCTGAGTGACCTGTGAGGGGTCTTGGACCACCTCCCTTCCCCATCCTCATCCTGCTGGCAGTGATCAGCAGGCGGAGGAGATGGAAGTGAAGCAACTCTGGTGCCCACCTCTCCCCCAGTTTTGCAGTAACACAGACCTGGGTGGCTGGCCACGTAGTGGGGCTGGAGTGCTGAGGGCTGCAGGGGAGACTCAGGGCCTGGTACACGGCCTCCTGGGTGGCTGGCTGTGTTGGGGAAGGGTGGTTCGGGGATGGCGTCCTCGGGGCCCAGGTAGTTGTAGAAGGGGGCCCCATCTGGGCCGTAGAGGCTGTAGTGTAGGTCCTCGGACCCAGGGCCATACTCATAGCCTGGTCGGAAGTGGACCCCAGCCTCCCGCTCTGCTTCGATCCGGGCCACGTTGCACAGCTGAGCATAGACCTCTGTCAGGGAGGAGGGAGAGAGGAAGCCTGGTGTGCTGTCCCCTGGCTCACTCCCCCGGGGAGAGGGAGCATGCTGGGACCTGCACCCTCTGACAGCTCCTGGCAGTGCCCTGCCGCCTGCCCCACATTATCCCCAAACAACAGGGACCGAAGACAGGACCACTACTCCGGGTGCCCTGCTCCTGTCTAAACCCCCCTCCCAAGGCGAGGGCACTCTCCCCACTGCGGCCTAGCCGGCTTGCAGGCTCTCCCCTCCCTCCCTGCAGACACAGGCCGCCCTCTCACCAGAGCTCGTGGGGGGGCACAGAGCGCACTGCTGGCTCCAGGCCTCGCCATCCTGGCAGCAGCATTCCGTGTAGGTGGTGCGGCGCCCGTGCAGGGGTTGGCTGCACACGTAATTGGTGACTTTTTTCCAGCAGACGTCCATGTGGATGTCGTGGTCAGGCAGGTCCTCTGGGGGCACAGACAGAGGCCCTTGAGCCCCCCCCCCCACCAGTCCCGCCCACTCTCCCTGCGCCCCGCCCTCCCAGGCCCGCTGACCCGCGCCGCCGGTGCTGTTCACGCAGCGCTGCCCGCTGAGGTCCAGGGTGAGGGGCGGGCTGCAGAAGCAGTGGAAAGAGCCCTCCGTGTTCACGCACTCGCCGTTCTCACAGGCCATGTCCTGGCACTCGTCGTGATCTGTGGGGGCAGGAAGACGGAGGAACGTGTGGGCGGTACCAGGGCGGCTTGCCCACTTTCAGGGAAAGGGATTTGCTTGTAACTGATAAGGGAGAGGTAGCACCCTGCTTCCCCCTCTCCTGCCCCCAGCCCAGCCTGGGAGACCCCACCCCAGGGACACTTTCCCAGCAAGTCCTCAAATACAATCCCCGACGTCCCCACAGCTCCCCTCACCTCAGACCTGCCTGCTGCAGCCAGCGGGTATCTGTCCCTGGAAGGGGACTCCCAGCAAATCAGGGGCTGGCTGGCAGGGCTGGGTGAGCCATCAGCTGTGGGCCTGGGGTGAGGGTGGGGGGTGGGGGTAGGGGGAATGTATCCTCACCCTCACACTTCCTGCGGCTGGCATCGTAGTGGTAGCCAGGATTGCACAGGCAGATGTAGCCGGGAACCGTGTTGAGGCACCGGCCGTTCTGGCAGAGACCAGGCCTGAACATCACACACTCATCAGCATCTGTGGAGGGCAGGGCTGAGGTGAGGGGGGTGGGGGCTGGGGGTATCAAGAAGCAGCCCCTGGGATTCAGGGCTCCAAAGCCAGGTTCTGGGTTTGAATCCTGGCCCTGCCACTGGCTAGCTGGGTAACTCCAGGAACTTGCTTCAGTTCTTGCCTCAATTTCCTACCTAAGAAAGTAGATACGACCAACCTCTTAAAGCTGCCGTGAGGATTAAAAGATGAATACACGTGAGGTGCCTAAAATAGTGCTTGGTTTTCTATCGTTCCTTTCCCCAGCTCCGGGATTAGGGTGCTCACACCTAAACCACCCGTGTGAGTATGGGTTCCCCGATGTTGCTAGCTTTGTAAGCGGCGCAAGGAGATAAGTGGCTGCTGCTGGCCTCTGCACAGGGCATGCCCGCTCTTTCCCTGCGCCGTGACTGGTTAGGCAATGCATCCCAGCTTGTTCCCGGAGGGTTCAGCCTCGGGGGAGCAGGAAAACCAAGGTGGGGTGTGTGAACATTCCCAGAGGAGCTCCGGTCAGAACTTCCAGCCCAGACTCTGCAGGTCCCCAGCCCTGGGACCGGAGGGATGGAAGTGAGCTGGGAGCCTGGGCCTGCATGCAGCCAGGAGCTTCCCGGGACCTGCTGGAGGGCCCGCCGGGCCCACTCAGGTGAATGGAGGTTGGGGAGCAGGATGTGCAGGGAGGTTACCTGTGTACGTAGTCTGTCCGAACATCCAAGCTCCTTCCACGGGGACGTAGCCTTTACCACTGGGGCAGATCTCGCTGAATTCGACTGTAGGGAGGCATCCGAGCTCAGAGAGAGGAGGACTCTGTCCCCTTCTCTCGGTGTCTCCCTGCAGAGCTGACCCTGAAAGGCCTGAGGACCATTGGGGCTTTACCTGAGTCCTCGGCTGGGCAGGGGTCACAGGCGTCTCCCCAGCTGGCTCCCTGGGTGCAGCAGCACTCGGCCTGCGTGGTGTTCCGGCCCAGGAGGCGGGAGCAGGGCGGCTGGTCTTGGTGCCCAGAGTAGCATTCCCTGCGGACGGGGCCTGAGAGGTGGTCCCCAGGCGGGGCCTCGGGGATGCTCTGACCTGTGCGTGACAGAGGCCCCTTGTCATTGTCTGCTCATGGCCTTAGCCTTTACAAACTTAACATTTAAATACCACTTTGCAGGACACAAAACGCTTTTACCTATGTTCCCTCACCTGATGCTCTCCACAGCTCCACATGGTGAGCATTATTACCATCAGCACCCTCTTACAGACAGGCAATCGGGATAGAAAAGCTAGGTGACATACCACACAACCCCAGCTACACTACCCCTGCCCACACTGCCCAGCCCTGGCCCAGGCCCCCTCCCAGAAGCTAGAGAGTGGTTGTGCTGAATGGCTGGGTGGGGTCTGGGGCGTGCTCACCTGCAGCCCCCCGCGGGCGGCAGTGCCCCTCCTGAGCGTCGTACTCCTCCAGGTCGCTGGCGCAGAGGCACAGGAAGGAGCCCTCCACGTTCTCACAGAGGGCTGCCCCGCACACGGCCAGCATGAGCTCACACTCGTTCACGTCTGCCAGGCATGGGGTCAGGCTCGTGGGTGGAGGAGAGGCAGCCCACGCCCTCTGCCCCTGCCTCCAGCCCCCCGGGGGGAGGGGGGCAGATACTTATCCCCTCAGACAAAAGAGGCTGGGTCTCGGGGGAAGAGCAGGAGTGGGTATGAGTTAGCCAGAGGAGGAACAGATGAACGGCGGGCATGGGAGGAGGGAGAGAAGGGTGGCAGACAAGGGTCACGAAATGGACAGAGAAGAAGGGTTCCTCCCTCTGCACATTCTCTGAACGACATGCCTCTGGAGACCCTGAGGTCTCTGGAGAAGGGGGGCGCCTTCATGAACGTGCCTGCTCCCCCTGGCGGACTGTGGCCACGCTTCCCCTACCCGCCTGGCCCAGCGGACACCTGCCTTCCTTGCCCACCCTGTGAGGACCCATTAGGGAGCCGTGTGACCATGGCCGTTTCAGGAGGAGGGCCCAGGGCCTCCGTCCAGGACAGCCATCCTCTGTGGAAAAGGGACAAAGGGCCCGAGAGCCTCCCCTTCCCTGGCCCAGAGCCTCGCTGGCCCCCAGGCCTCTCACCCACGCAGTCCCAGCCGGAGGACGAGGCCTGGAAGCCCTGGTCGCAGAGGCAGCGGAAGGAGCCCTCCGTGTTGTCGCAGAAGCCGTGGCTCCCGCACACCGTGTCGTTGGCACACTCGTCTATGTCTGCGGGACGGAGAGACGGGAGTGGAGGGTGTGCTCTCACGCACCCTCATTACCTCTTGGGCATACTTACTGATTCGGCCTGTTAACACCAAGATCTGTGAAAAGTAACGTCTAAACACGGGACAAGAAAACTCTAGCCTTCCTCTTCAATTGTTGGGCGAGCCCAGCTCTATGGAACATATACCAACTTTCAAACAGCTGCAGAAATGATGTCCTCGGGGAAAATGAGAACTAGTGCTTCAGCCCTCCCGCCTCTGACCCCCTCTCCCCTTCCGACTCACCTATGCAGTCTCCGGAGGGGGCCAAATGGAAGCCGGGTTGGCAGCCCTGGACACAGCGGTAGGAGCCAGGGTTATTCTCACACCGCCAGGCCCCACACACCGGGTCTCCGTGGTCCTCGCACTCATCAATGTCTGTCCCCAGAGCCACGAGAGGATACAGGAGGGGCCAGGTCACCGTTCTGGCCCTGCCTTCCCAGCATCCCCAGGCCATGCCCCACAACCTCTGAGGTCCTTGGTCTGTTCCAAATTACTGTATCAGGTCAACCCCCAAACATCAAGTTCAGGGTCGTTTTCCCTGACCCAGCAGGGATGAACATCTAAAAGAGCTTTACACTACAGTATTTAGAAAAGCACCGAGTTCTTAGCCTCCTTTCCCCGACCCGTCTGCCTAGAGTGGAGCACTTTATACTTCTCTGTATATAAAACCTTCACCCAAGTGTATTATAGCGAGTTATCTTCGTATCTGTCTCCCTTGTTCAATTTCAAGATTGCCTGTAACTGTCTGTTTGTCCTGGCAAAAGACATTGGACCTGGCAGGTGTTTAATAAATGTCTATTGAGTCAGTTTGGCTTTAAAAGCGAGATGGTGAGCTCTGCTTGCACAAGGATGATGATTGTCTGCACTTTGTCATGCCCGCACCGTCCCTGAGTCAGCAGAGGCTCCATGAATGCATTAGCCATTGGGTGATGCATGTGTGGAAAGCTGCAGTTCCTGGTCCCAGGGACCTGAGGACCAGGCGGGGTGGGGGGTGGGGTGGAGGTTGAGGGGGAGGGAGGGTAGGAGAGGGCAGACCTGGGGCAGAGCTTGTCCGTTCCCTCCTGAAACCCTTACCCACACACTCCCCACTCTCGGGGGCGGGCTGGAAGCCAGTCTCGCACAGACAGTCGAAGGAGCCCTCGGTGTTGACACAGTGCCCTCCCAGACACTGGTCTGTGACTGCGCACTCGTCCACATCTAAAACAGGGACATCTGTCAGCCGACCCAGCCACGGGTCCCTAGCGCCCTGGACCCTACGTAGCCCATAGGAGGGCCAGGGAGTGGCTCAGGGTAGGGAAGGGCTGAAGGTTTGAGGAAGAGTTCAGAGCTGGAAGCCAGAGGCCAGGCCGGGGGGAGGAGCCCTGGAACTGGGGTTCTGTCAAGGGGAGAAGGGTGACACTCAAAGAGTTCAGAGGGTGCAGTATGGTCAGCATCCCATCCTTCCTTCCCTGGGTGGAACCAGGGCATTTTATTCTAGCCTGTAGCGCCCCCTGCTGCTGACAAGTGGACACGGACAAGTTGGCTTCTCACCCTGGCAGCGGGTGCCTCCGTCGGCGCTAACAAAGCCTGGGGCACAGAGACAGAAGAAGGACCCGTGGCTGTTGAGGCACTCGCCGTGGGGTGCGCAGTACTCCTCTCCCACACACTCGTCCACGTCTGCAGGGAGAGGGTAGGCAGTGGTATCTCCTGGGAATGTTCCCACCTCCCCACACACTCTCTGGCCCGGGCCCCCGGGGGAGAGCTGAGCCACTCACCCACACACGCAGTGCCATTGGCCAGCTGGAAGCCCGGGGAGCAGAGACACTGGTAGGAGCCCGCCGTGTTCTTGCACTCGCCTCCCTGGCAGTTGCTCTGGAGGTCTTCACACTCATCCACGTCTGCGGGGCCACACGGGAGGAAGGGAGCCCATGGCAGCACCTCTCAAGGCCAGACGCCAATGGGGGAGGGTTCCAGAGGGCCTGCCACCTGCCCGAGGAGCCTGGCCCCATGGAGGCATCACCCAATGACGGACACTCCTTCCACTTCTGCCCCAGCCCAGCAGGCTCCGCTGTCTCGGGCTGGGCTTCTCCAGCTGCCCAGACAGTGCTCACCTTGGGGACACTTGGCCTCTCTCAGCAACCCAGCCTAGGATGGCCACACCCCAAGGCCCTTATGGCTCAGATTTTACTGAGAAGCAGTAGAAACACACATGAGAACTAAACCAGGGAAACAGATACACAGACTCTGAGAAGATAACAGAAACTAGATTCTTCAAGTTGGCCTACAGATCCTCCCCTGGTACAGGCCAGTGCCCATCCTTAAGAGCAACCCTTGGGGAGCTTGTTAGAAAACAGATCCCACCCCCCACCCCATATCAGAGGTTAATTTGGCAGGTCTGGGGCAAGGCCTGGGAGCTGCACACCCCGTCCCTCTCCCCAGCGATGCCGATGTGTGCTGAAGCTTGTGACCCAGGGCTCACTGGCCAGGCCCCAGATCTGCAGGTGTCTACAGCTAGCCCCCCATCTGAGGTGGACAGAGCGGGGGGGGGGCTAGCTATATGTGTCCCAGCGACTCCTTTCTCTAAGGGCGATGGCCTGGTCTCCCTCATCTGCCACAGGGGCTCTTACCTTCGCAGGTGTGGCCCTGGGGGCTGGGCCGGAAGCCCCGGCCACAGTCCCTGCAGGAGAAGGAGCCGGCAGTGTTGGTGCAGACTCCTGAGGGGCAGACTCCCGGGAAGGCACACTCATCTAGGTCTGGGTCAGACAGCAGCCGTCACCTGGGGGCTGGGGAGGGCTCCCTCCACCTGGTCAGGCTGGAACCTCCCAGGCCCCTGGCTGCCCTCTCTGAGCGTGCAGGACTCTCTCCAGGCCCCTGGGGAAGGGCAGCCCTGACTGTGGACCTCTGGGGCAATCTCAGCATCCCTTCACCAGAATGCTCCTGGGCAACTCCACTGTAAGCTTTCTTCTGGTCTCAGGCTCCCCTTTCCTCCTGTCCTCCCCTTTAAACTTGAGGATTATGACAGTAGGGGCCAAGTCCATATACAGGGTCTTCTAGCCTTGCCTGGAGACCCTCAGCATTAGCCCAAAGCTAGGGGACACGTGGAGTGTTCGTTGGGAGGGACTATATTGTGCTCTCTGCCACCCCCCTCCCCAGGGTTACCTTCACAGGCAGTGCCTTCTTCATTCACCCAGTAGCCACTCTCGCAGGCTGAGCAGGCGAAGGAGCCCTCGGTGTTGAGGCAGAGCCCTGTGGGGCACGAGGCCCGGCTGGCACACTCGTTGACATCTGAAACGGGCCATGCGTGCTGTGTGGGGCTCTGCGGGACAGACGTGCCAGGACAGCAGACTGACGGGTGGGTGGTGGGGACAGGGGAAGGGCCGGGCTTGCAGCAGTGTGTTGGGTAGCTTGGTTGGGATGTGGGATCAAGATGGGTCGGGAGTGTGTGTACAAAGGGAGGAGCTGCGCGCTGGTGTGCTGTGCAGGAAGCCTTGTGCTGTGCAACTTTGTACCTTGGCAACTCTTCCCATCGGAGGCGACCTCGTAGCCCTGCTCACAGGAGCATCTGAAGGAGCCCTCCAGGTTGTAGCACCTCCCGTGGGCGCAGACCCCAGGGGTCAGACACTCGTTCACATCTGTGGGGAGAAGTCCAGGGTAGCGAGCTGGCCTCCTCTCCTTCAGGCAGTCCCTAGTCAGGCTGAGAGAATTTCCATTAGGAGGCCAAGGGCCCACCGTGCAGAGGACCCAAAGGCCAGCCTGCAAAGGCCACGAGGTCATTCCTGCTGCTGGCCCCACTCACTTAGGCAGGGCAGGATGTCCTTCCCCGCGGAGCTCACTTCCTCTTTAACTAGTAGCACTGAGGACTCTGCATATGTCCCAGAAAGAGGGGCAGGCCCTCAGCTCTGGTTTGGCCCCTCCAAGGACACCCGGAGTGAAGTCTCCGAGACCCGTGACTCACCTTACAGTGGCCCTGAACCTCTCTGGCTTCCTACCTGCCAACATGCTATGAGCTCATGTTCCCAGCCTCACAACCAGCTCCAGTAGGTGAGTGGGCAACGCAAAGAAAGGCCAACCTCCGCCTGGGTGGCTGAAGGGCAGTGTCAAGGGCCTGGGAAATGTCTGCCCTCTCCAGAGCCTCAAAGCGTCTATTCACAGCTCAGTCCCTCCTGGCATTCCGCACCCCCGGCCCTCCTTCCTGCAGGGGCGGAGGGAAAAGAACATGCCTCCTACAGCTGACACGCAGGCCCCTCTGGAGGGAGAAGAGCACCCGCTGTCCACTTAGGCGGGGCTGCCTAGATACTGCTGTTGGGATGCAGGGCCTGGCTGCCAGCTCACACCACCAGAGTCAGGCTCTTCCTAAGATGCTTGGCACTTCACTCTACCCAGGATCCAGCCTCAGAGGCTTCTGGGACCTTGGGCTGCAGCTCCCGAACGGATGTGACCGAGGAGCCAAGCGGCCCCCGCCCTAGCTGCTTCAGAGAGCGGAGCATCAGTGATTGAAGCACACCCATCTCATGCCCAACGTCATCTGGGAGCCCAGCCGGCGCCTGAAGGACAACAGCCTCCAGACCGCCTCCCTCTGCCCACCTCCTTCTCCCCTGTGTGTGGGCTCAACCAGAGGTCCCGGGGCCAAACAGTCCTCGTAGTACCTTGGCAAGCAGCCCTCACCTACACAGCTCCCGCTCAGGCCCCTGTAGCCCTCCGCGCAGGCCAGGCAGCTGTAGGAGCCGGGGGAGTTGACACATCTCCCATCGGGGCAGGTGCCGGGGTGACGGCATTCGTCGATATCTGCAAAACAGCAGCCCCTCCCTCGGTCATCCCTGGGAACCACAGCACGTGGGTAGGTCTGTGAGGAAGCAAATCCCGACCCTGCCCATGGCTGGGAGGGAAGAAGGTCAGTGTCTGTGCAGACGGAAAGTAGGAAAAAGTGAGTGTTGTCCTGTGTCCCCAACTCCGCTTCCCACCCACCGCCCTGGACAAAGAGAGAGGCGGAAGAGCTTTAGAAAGGGAGATGCCCTGGGTGGGTGTGAGAGGCCGTGGTGGCCACTAGCTGTGGGAGGGAGGGTCCATATCCAGGGCCTCAGGCGATCTGACCAAGTTAGGAAGGTCCTAGCACAGGGAGAGACCTCTGCCTCTGCGTTGGGGCTGCTTAGTGAAACAGCTTAGTGGGGCTGCTTGGAAACAGCCTTCTTTTTTTAAAAAAAATTTAAATTCTTTATTGTTGAAAGTATTACATATGTCTCCTGCCCCCCCTCCGCCCCCCTCTGCCATTGACCTCTCCCTGGCCGCTCCCACCCCCCAGCACATTCCATCACTCCCTACAGTTCGTGTGCATTGGTTATGCCTATATTATTGCATACAGGTCCTTTGGTTGATCTCTTACTCTTCCCCTCCTCCCCTGCCTTCCCTCTGAGGTTTGACGGTCTGTTCGATGTTTCTATGTCTCTGGATCTATTTTTGTTCATCAGTTTATGTTGTTCATTATAGTCCACAACTGAGTGCGGTCATGTGATATTTGTCTTTCTCTGATTGGCTTATGGTATTTTGCTTAGCACAATGCTCTCCAGGTCCATGCATGTTGCAAAATAACAGCCCCTGGGACCTCTGGTTGGGATGATAGGAGTTCTTCCTTTTTTTTTTTTTTTTTTTTTTTTTACAGCAGCAGAGTATTTCATTGTGTAGATGTACCATAGTTTTTTAATCCACTAATCTGCTGATGGGCACTTAGGGTGGAAACAGCCTTCTTATTTCCCTTGATGAACTCATGTTTTTTTGTTTGTTTATAAGTGGTGACAATTACTGGGATTGTATGTGCTTGGCACAGCAGACCCCAGAATAGATCACCAACTAGGTGATGAAGGCAAATGGGCTTCCTGTACCAGAAAATGAGAACTGAGGGGGACCACTGGTCTTGGATGTGGTCAAGACCAGCCCTGAGGCTGATGCAGAGCTAAGGGTGGATATTGCAGACGTCAAGATTTTATGCTAGAGAGCAGACTTGACTTCTACCAGCCAAGGACCATGTTGAGCCAGAACCCACGCTGAGCCAGAAAGGATGAGTCCAAGCACCAACCAGACAAGCAGGGGAAGAGGGGACGCAGGAGGGAGAGGGGCAGCAGGCTATGGTTACCACTAGCTATGGGAGGGAGAATAACAACATGGAGGAGGGTGGATATCTTGCTCCCAGGAACTGCACACAGGGTTCTTCCCCAAGTGACTGGCTTCTCAGGAGTCCATATCCAAGCCCCCAGGGGACCTGGCTGAGCTAGGAAGGTCCTAGCACAGGGACAGAGCTCTGGGTTGGAGCTGCAGGAAGACACTGTGCTCCTCCAGCCCAGTGTCAAGGCTCCTGGTCCTGACACACAGGCTGACTGAGCTCCAGAAGAAACATGGGGGTTTACTCTCCCTAAATGGGTAACTGCCATTGTCTTGGAGGAAGTCTGCTTGCTTATGCAGATTCAGAGACCCTACTGTTCAGGAGGAAAACCTACTCAGCCCCATGGAGGAAATGCAGAAGGGAGGGCCAAGGGTCAGACACAGGCTTTCCGCCAACGGACTAAAGGCAGAAGATGTCACTATAGAACAGGAGCGGGGTACTGCAGTGGAGGATGAAAATGAGTGACTCCTCAGGTCGTTTGGCCTGCAGGAGACTGGACACATCAAAACCCTCTCAAGACCAAAATTTCATTCTGAGGGTCCAGAAGAAGAGGAAGACATTCCATTCACAGGGCAGGTGGTTAGTCAGGTATCAGCAAGGAGATACTGAGCGCGCTTATGTAATCTTGGGGACACTGAGACAAGGCTCATCTCTGGAAAGAGGGCAGCCAAGAGCTCTCGTTGGGTGTGTATACCAAGCTAAACTATTCTAAGGGTTTCTGTAAAGACAGAGGTGGAGAGAACGAGACAGAGAAGGAGGGGATGAAGGATCTCAGACCATCACTTCGGCCACCCAGGAGGCAGCAAACGGCACTATGGCCTGCTGGCCTTGGCAGAGGTACTGGAAGGAGGCTGGGCCAAGCCCCTGGGAATGATCCCTTCTTCAGGAAGGTGAGACTTCAGGGATAAAGGGAAGGAGAACAAAGGGGAGCAAGGATCCGCCACTAAGACCACATTGAGAAAGATAATGAAATCTTCAGATCTCGCCTACAGGTTTCAGGCAGTGTAGGAAGGAGGTTAGATTAGCCAGCAGCAAACTCCCCCTCCCTCCCCCCATGTCTGTCCTGTCCCAAATTATCTGGGCACATCTGCGGAGGTGGTACACGAAGTGTGTGATTTACGGACCACGGCATTTAATCGTGTGCAACGCTGCAGAGCGCTCCTTCTGTTCTATAATGACACCTTCGGGCCACATTCAAGACACTGGCTATTCATTTAGCTTGGTTCTAGAGCTAAGAAACCCAGCTGACCCATGATGGGCATGGGGCATTGGTCAGGTATAAAGTTTGCTAACTTCTGGGAGCACTTGAGATCTTGCCCCCAGCATATGTCATCAGTTTGGCTCAAAGTCATGAACATTTTTTTTTTTTTTTAAGTTTGCTGTGTTCTAAGCGCTAAGATTGGAGCTGTTCGTTAGTGCAATGTAACCTAGTCTATCCTGGGAGGCCACCGCTGCCTTCCTTCCTCAGAGCTCCAGCCAGCGATGACCACACCTGAGAGGTCTGTCAGTAAGTGGGAGAGGGAGGGCAGAAGAGCCGAGCAGCCCTTAGTCTCCACCTGAGCCAGGGCAGGCTTCTAAAAGGGAGCCGTTAGCTGACCAATCAAAAGAAGTCAGATACAGACTCTGCATAAAGCAGTTGCCACATCTAACCAGTCACCAGATTTACTGAGGCTGTTCCATCAACCTTTTGGTGCTTGGAGTGGAGCCTGATTTTCTGCCTAGTCTAGGGTTTGAATTTTTTTAAAAATATATCTTTTATTTATTTCAGAGAGGAAGGGAGAGATAGAAACATCAATGAGGAGAGAATCATTGATTGGCTGCCTCCCGCATGCCCACAAACTGGGCTCACTGTGCCCTGACCAGGAATCAAACAGTGACCTCCTGGTTCATAGATGGATGCTCAACCACTGAGACACATCAGCCAGGGCTGGGGTTTGAATTTTAATCTAAGATTATGGTATGTTTTGGTAGGTTTCACCCTGGTCATGAGGGTGGAAGCTATCGTTCTTACTTATTGTTCTATCCCTAGCCCATGGCTGGGACACAGCTGGCACTCCGCAAATGTTTGTGGGTCCAGCCATGAGACCATGTGACTAAAACATCACACCCTCTTGGTATGAGGCTGCTGAAGAGACCCCAGACGATCCATGGAAACAGTCACTCCCAGACCAGCTTGCCACCCTGCTGTCCACCCCGGGGAGAATTCCGGACCTTTTCCATCAGTGCCACAGTCTTCACACCAGGAAATGGAAGGGCACTCACCTCTGCTCCTTGAGAGAAAGCAGGGTGAGAGGTGCTTAATCAGGGGCTAGAGGCTCAGGTGACCTTGGATGTGGGTGGGGGAGAGCAAAGCCCTGGCAGTCTACAAGGGAATGTAACCCCTTTCCGTGGGAACTCAGAGTCTTGGTACGAAAGACATACCATTGAGACTTTGGATGGGCTGCCTTCCAGACCACTCAGGCCTTCAGCAGAGACTTTGAGTTTCGGTAGAGAGAGTGGTTTCTTAGTTGGAAAAAGAAGAAAGAAGGAGAGAAATTGCCTGGGCTCCCAGGGTGCTGGGCAGGGTCTGTGGTTACTGATGGAAACCTGGAGAAGTGTGCAGGCTGCATCAGTCTTTCTTTCAACAGCTTCAGCGTCTGCCCTGGGCCAGGAGCTCAGCCTTGCTTTCCCGCTGAGGTGTGTGTCTGGAACCTTTCCTTCGGAAGGGGATGGGACAACCCAGAGGTGTGATCTGGGGCATGGGGGCAGGGTGGAGGGGTCTAGATGTGAAAAAATAGGGCTCTCAGAACTTCTCTATGCTCACTTCTGCATGGACCTCATATGACCTATTAGGTCCTCACTAGAGCCTCTGAGATGGCCATGATGGTTTCAGTTTTCAGACATTGAAACAAGAGCCAAACCCAAGTCCACCTCCACCAGGGCCTGTGCCCCTAGCACGGACTGGTTAGCATATATCTGATCTTTTTTATGCCCTGGTGTTTGCTTGGTTCATTTCCTAAAGTTTTGCATACTGTGATGCTTAAATGAGGCAATCTGACAGGTACCTAGCACACTACCTGGCCCATGGTAGGCACCCATCAAATGCAACTCCCGTCACTCTCCATTCTCCTGGAGGGGCCAGGCTGCCTGCCTCCATGGTGCTAATGAAAACAATGGGCTCTGGCTTTGATCGCGCAGCCCTGAGATTTAAAGGGGGAGCACGATGAGGAAGGCATTGAGAGAAGAAGATAACATGGTGTGGGGAGGGCGTGCAGCACTGAGTTTTCTGTCCTACAACCCCAGCCACCTTGGCTAGGACCTTCCAGGACTCTGGACTTGCTTCTGTAGTCGTGGCATTGGGAATGGGGGCCCACCCTTCACAAGGCACACATGCTTACTTCTCACCTCCATGACCCTCTGAATCCAGGCAAGTCCTGGCCAGAAAAAGCTTGGAGGAGGGTGGGCCTAACCTCAGATCTGGGGCAGGATTTCTCTCCAGAGAGAACCTTGATTTACCCTCATGCATTCCTTTCTCAGCCAGTAACCCAAGCCTCTTGCAAGCATTTGACACCCGAGCCTGGCAGGGAGGTGGTAGTGGCAGAGGTGGCATAATAGTGCCAGGTTCAAGCCAGTTGGCAATGCCACAGCCATCTTTTGGCCTGAAAAATGGAGTAAGGGTAGGGACTCGTTCATTCATTCAACTAAAATTCGTTCGGGTGTCCAACACATAGACAATTAGTATGGGTCATCGAGGATGTGGTCCCGTTCTGAGGAGCTCAGAGCCTACACGCTTAGCAAGAAGGCCAAGGCTGAGGCCCCAGGTGCCTCCCAGGTAGATTGATTCCTTCTTTCTGCACAAGGTGACTACTATGACTGGCGGCAAGGGACACAGGAGTACATGGCGATGTTCCGGGGTCTCATGCACAGAAACTTGCTTCAGGGGGCAGACAGGATGCCAAAATATCACTGAGGGGATAGAAGGGCTCAAAAGGTCCCAGACAGGCCTCTGTCTATAGGCGTGGGCTTGGCATCAAGGGGCCCAGTCAGGGGCAAGCAGAAAGGAGAGTTGGGGCACTCAGTGCATGGGAGGGACAGGGGATGGCGGGGCGGCACCCACTTCCTTACCTTGGCAGTGTCCCTTCCTGACCATGATGTAGCCCTGATCACACTGGCAGTGGTAGGAGCCCTCCGTGTTGGTGCACCGCCCGTGACGGCACACCGCTGGCTGCTCACACTCATCTATGTCTGCAAACACATGGAAAAGGCCTGAGTTGGAGCCAGGCTAAGGGGGTTCTGGGACAATCTCTTCAGAGGACAAGGCCAAGGACACCCAGGAGGAGGGGAAGACATCCTTGCTGTGCCATGATTGGCAGGGGGTTCCTATGCCAGGGCTGAGACTGACCTCGCTCAGGCCCCTGCAAACTCTCTCAAGTTCCTTTCTCTGAGGAAAGCTACTTCTGGGGCCCATGGGGGCCCTATAGCTGTCTCCTCACCACAATGCAAGGGCTGGCCTTGAGGTCAGGTGGCCACAGGGCATGATCTGAGGAGGAAGCCAACAGCCCCCCTCCTGACCCTAATACACCCCCTGTATTGATCTGGTCCTAGAGTTCCTTCTTAACACACATACTAGTACAGGGGTGGACTCCAGAAGAGTCAAACATGCCACAGAGGGCAAAACTATAATTTTAATGAAAGAACGTGTAGGAGAATAGTTTTGTGACTTAAGTGTGGGGAAGGACTTCTTAAGCCCCAAAAGCATAAAAATAAGACAAAACAGTGAATTTTGATACATCAGAATTAAGGATTTCTGTTTCATTTCTTTCTTCTGGGGATTTCCGTTTTTAAAAAAGGTGTGTAAGCCCAAGTCAGTTTGGCTCCGTGGACAGAGCACTAGCCTGCAGACTGAAGGGTCCCAGGTTTGATTCCAAGGGCATATGTCTGGGTTGCAGGCTTGATCCCAGGTAGGGGTCATTCAGGAGGCAGCCAATGGATGATTCTCTCTTATCATTGATATTTCCATCTCTTTCTCTCTCTCCCTTCCTCTTTGAAATCAATAAAAATATATATGTTTTTTAAAAAGGGTGTGTGAATAAAGACAATGGACAGAGGACAAAATGGGAGAGCTGCAGTATCTAAACCCCGGCAAGTATCTGGAATATATAAGAAACCCCAAAAGAGTCACAAGGAAAACCAGCAACCACCACTGGAAAACTGAGCGAAAGACGGGAACAGGCCATTTCCAGGTAAGGAAACCCAAAGGCTAACCTACAAAGAGATCTCATGCCAATTAGTAAAGTAACTTATTTTATATATGTACTAGTCAAGTCATTTATATTCATCAATTATATTTACATAGTTTGAATTCTAGAAACTGCACATTAATGACATAATTCATGAAGTAAGTAATTAAAATAATGACCTGTTGCTTTCTGAGACTGGTAACATTTGGAAGTGTTATCCTGGGTGAGGCCTCATTAAGTGGCAGCCAGACCCCACTGACCCCAGCTGACCTTGAGCTCCTTCCCTCCTCTCCCCGCTGTCAGGTCGGCAGAGACATCCCAGACACCCAGGATGGGCGCCGCATTCCCCGCAGCAGCCAGCGCCCAGGGCTGGGCCTGCCAAGAGCACAACCTCTGGCCCACAACCCCTGCCAAGGCCGCGCAGCCCAGAGAAGCCCCTTGCCCCAGCCTCTCCCCTCGCCAACTCCAGTTATTGGGAGCACTGCTGTCTGGGTCCCTTCCCTCAAAGCCAGCTGACCGAATCGCCGCCCTCTGCTTTCAGATCTCTGCGGGCTGCCACTGCCTGTGGGACAGCGTCCAAGCACTTCAGCCTGGCACTCATGACACTTCACCACTGGTCTCCGCCCCTGCCACTTCCTCCTCATGCCCCGCACCCCCATCACACTGGATTTGGCATTGTTCCCAGAGCATGCCAGGCCTGTCCACGACTCTGCTCCCTGCAGAAATGGCTCCCTTTCCATGGAATACGCTCCGCTCCCTCCCGCCCTTCACTCTGTGTGTAAGGGAGTGTATTGTTGAAAGCAAAGCTCTGAGGTCCCTGGGCGTTTCAATCCACTTCTCTGAGCCACAGTTTGCTGAGCTATAAAGTGGGTATAAGGATTTCTAGTGCATGGGGTTGGGGTGATGAGCTTCATAAAGTGCTTAGGATAGGGCCAGCACGTAATACGTGCTCATGAAACGGTTCTGCCCCAGCTCAAACACGTCCAGAGGGAAACCTTCCCATTCTTCCACACAGAACCAGTTGTCTCCTCACTCCCTGGGGCCACCATTTACGTCTTACTCTCCCCACTGCCCCCGGAGCTTACATGGCTCCTGGTACATAGATGCTCAGTGCTTGAGGGCTGAATGAATGATGCACACAAGGCTGCCACCCTTCGGTTAAAGAAGTGATTTATCTCCTCTACTCCCTTTCCCCCCACAACCCGTGAGGGGACTAGATCCTTGAGGGTTAGAACCCGAGGGCTCCCTGACAGTGAGAGGATACACAGCTTTCCGGAGGGCCCTGGAGTGACTGCTGGGTTGCCCAGGCCAGAACCACAATGTGGGTCCCAAGAAGGCAGTGCCGTTCCCCAGGAGAAGAACCTAATTGTGTTAAGAATCCTAAGTCCCAGCTTGGAAAGCGCCGCACCATATTCTCGGTGGTCTCTTATGTGACAATGCAGGCATCACAGTGTGACTGCTGCATATGAAGGGGCCTGTGTTGGAAGCCCCGTTAGCTCTGCAGGCCTTGCTTGGGAAGCTCAGAGCCTTGCACGCACCAGCTGCAGAGGACCCCAAAGGCATGGGTATGGGTCACCTCCTTATCACAAGGAAAGCAGCTCCTTGTCACTCAGAAGTTGGGGACCTGGCTGTTAGCCCTCCTCTCCCTGGACACCCCCCCCCCCATACACACACACACACACACACACACACACACACACACACACACTCTTGGCTTTAGCCACAGTTCCCTGAGCCTTGGGCATGCTGCGGCTCTTCAGATTCTCAAGTTAGGTGCCAGGGCAGTCGGCTTTCTCGGTTCCTGGGCCCCGCACTCCCACACCGCAGAACTGAGTGCCGAGGCTGCCTGGATCCTCTTCCACTTCCGCTCTCTGGGGGTCCTGTGCCCATCCGGAGGGCTAGGGCTTACCTTGGCATTCCTGCGTGGTCCCCGAGGTGGCCGGCGTGTAGCCAGGGTAGCAGAGGCAGGAGTAGGAGCCCACGTGGTTGACACAGCGCCCTTTTCCCAGGCAGGGGTCCCTCAGACACTCGTTGTCATCTGAGCAGAGGGGGAAGGGAGGAAGATCAGGGGAGCCCTTCTCTGGGCCTGGGCCAGCACCTGCCCACGTGAAGGGCTGGACAGGGGATGGTGCTGTGGGGCCAAAAGAGGGTGAGGGAGCAGAGGAGGCTGGAGAGATGAAATATCTCAGAGGCTGGGAGCCATGAAGCCAGCCCACGGGGTCCACCAGGCACCAAAGGCCTGGAGTGGCTGCCCTTCGCCTCCTCCTGGCCCCTGGCTCCCTCCCCCGGTGGCCCTGTGATCACTTCCTTTCTCCTTCAAGGCGCAGTGATGTGTCCCCTTTCTGTAATAATATTGGTGTGACAGGGGGCAGTTAGGCCAACCCTTGATGATTTGTCTTGGCCTCCAAATCTGTCTACCAGGGATGGCCTTGGTAGAGACATTTACAAAGACAGACCTTGGTCCACCCTGCAGGCAGCAAGATGGCCAGTTTGGGGTGTGTGTGTGTGTGTGTGTGTGCTGAACTCAGAGCTGAGGGCTCCAGGCACCTGTCTGGGGGCCCTGGGGTGGCTTCCCACACTCCTGGAGTCCTGGAGATTCCTCAAATGCTGGCCCCAGAGGTTGGTCTCCCCAAGGTTAAGGTCAGCTTTGTCCACAGGGTCTATGCTCCTCCTCAACCCACCGACCACACAGCCTTCTGCTGCCTGGACTGTCGACTCTGTCCCCTAGCAGCCCCGCTCCCATCCACCCAGACACTAAGCGAGCCAGGACTCCCAGGTGAACACCTGTGCAGTGGGTCTGGCTGGGGTGCAGCCGGAAGCCGGGGCTGCAGACGCATCTGTATCCATCTGGCAGGCTCACACAGGTGCCGGGGCCACAGATGTTGGTGGCTCCAGCGGCACATCTGTCAATATCTGTGGGAGACAGAGCAAAGCCGGAGTCATGGGCCCAGGGGAGGGGCCAAGGCAGCGGGGCAGAGTGGGAACAGTGTGCGGTCAGGGTACCTTGGCCTCAAAGGACCCACAGAAACCTCATCTCACCCTTAGTTGGGCTCTCCCACATCCACATGGCCTGTATAAGCTGCCCCCCTTCCCCCACCTACTCCCAGGGCCTGAGCCCCACCAGGACGAAGCTCTCAGGAGGGCATCGCTCTGACCAAGACCAAGCAGTTGCCAATGACCCATGTCCTGAGTCCCCGCAGGGCCCAGCCCGCTGAGGTCTCCAGCCTAACCTTACCCTGAATGCAGGCACAGCTCTCACCACAGTGCCCGGTGATTCCCTTCCCTGGCAAATCCTCCCCAGTTTCCCCTGGACAGACAGACAGGCTGACAGACAGATCTGGTGAGCAGGGTGCTGGGAAGAACTGCAGGGCAAGCGGGGTGGGGCCAACCGAGCAGGGCCTTGCATGCCGCCTTGAGACATGCCAGCTAGGAGTCACGCAAGGTGGGGTGTGATCAGAGCCGTCTCAGAAACACCACTCATCTCATCATGCCAGCTTGCTCGGCAAGATGGGAAGGGAGGCACAGGGGCCCTTAGGAACCAGGACCGCCTTGGGTGAAGTGCAGAGACGGGTGCTGAATGCAGACACAGTTTGAGACTCACCAGGACTCAGGGCTGAGGCTGCCTGAGGGCAGGGACCCTCGCTTTGTGGAGCTGTGTCCTTAGTACTAGCAAAGTACCCAGCACATGCTGACAGGACACAGCCCTGACTGGATGAAGGATGCTGTCAGCCTCTGTGTCCGCCCTGATGTCCCAGCAGGAAGCCCACACACCCTGGACTCCCTGCCCGGCCCCAGGGGAGTGGGCTGGGATGAGGCCTGAGACGGCGCGCAGTGGGGCTTCACAGCGTTTGCTAAACTGGGCGGAGCTGAACGTCCACGCTGGCCTGTTTGCAAGGCTGCCCTGTAGCTCTCCCGGCTTCAAGTGTCCGCCTCAGGACTCATGGGGACCGCCAGCCAGATTCCAAATGTCCTCCCAGAGGGGTGAGGTTGGGGGGTGACAGGGAAGACGGGGGATCAGGCACAAGGCTTTGGGGGTGGTTGGGCGGATCCTGTCCCCCTGAGAGCTGCGGCTGGGCCTAGCCTGGCCCCTCCTGCCCCTCTCCTCTGCCTCGGCCTCTTCCGCAGGCCCATTTCCTTTGTCAGAGACTCAGTAGGACTTAGCCCCTTCCCCAGCTCATCTTGCTGTGGGTGGAGGGGGGACGTGGAGCAGTGCACTGAGCCCAGAAGAGAGGGCCTGGGAGGGGTGCCCTGGTTCAAGTCCAGGAAGACAAACCCCGACTCCACCCCACATTTTCTGGACTTTTCCACGGGACTGCGGGGTCTCTCTCGTTGCCAGGGGAAATCCAGAAAGACCTGTCTCTGCCAAGGTGGCCTCAGTCTGCGAGGTTAAGAGATAAGCAAACCTGGACACATGGGAGGCCACACACGGGAGCACACGTGCGCTCTCACGTGCGCGGGGAGCAGCAGGTGACATGGCCTGGCTTCTCCTGAGCCAAGTCCCCAAACAATGAGCCTCAAGGAGGGCACATTCCAGGGCGAGGCGGACTTGCCAGGAATCTCCCCTCCCGCTCCCCCCTCACCCCTGCAGCAGGCCGGGGTGGAGGGGGAGCACAGGCTCCCCGGCAGTTAAACACCCTGGAGAACCCGGCCTTCCCGAAAGCCGCCCCTCCCGCGGGCAGGAGGCTGCCCGCTGCCAGAACACTCAGGTGACTCAGAGTCAACAGCCTGGGAGAGAGAGCCAGGCTTCCGGAGGCTCCCTGTCCTCCAGAGGCCCCTCGCTCCTCTCGGGAGGGCTCTGAGTGAGACCCTCCCCCAAGGGGACCCTTCTCTTTCCCCTTCCTGGCTGCACCCGTGCGCCAGATGGGATTCCTTTGCTCGCTAGGGCCCTGTGGTCTCTGTGAGAGGAGCCGGGGCTGAGCCTGGGGGGAGTTGCTGCAGACCGTGTGTTCATTTGGTGGAGAGGCCCAGTCGCACCCACACCTCGCAGGGCTGGCTGCAGGTACCTGGGGGGCCCAGGGTCACCAGCACGTCGGTGGGGGTGGTCACTTGCTCTTCTTCTGGGGTCTCTAGACTCCCCTGTCCAGGCAGTGGTGGCGTTGGTATTCCTGTGGCATCTCCTGTGGGGGTTTGGGGGAGGAGAGGGGAAAGAGGTGGGCGTAGCCCCTTGGCCAGCCGCCTTCCCACCTGGGACGGCGCCCCCTCCAGGTTCCTGGCAGTGCCCTTCGCTCCTCTCTGCTGTCCCAACTCCAAGAGCAAGGGGAGGAGCCTAGGGCGGGTCACCCCTCGCCTCCTAGCCTCCTGAGGCCTGACCTGGCCCCACACAGAGTCAGAGAATCTGACGGCTCATCGGGTCTCAGAGCCCCTCACGCTCCATCTCATAGGCGAGGAGACGGAGCTGGCAGAAAGAGCCACTTGTGCAGAGCCACCTGGCTTCCGAAGCCGGACTCCTGGTCCCCACACCAGCATTCTCCTCCTGTTTGCAAAGCGCTTTACCACCATAGAGCTCTGCCATGAGCACCTACACCCCATCTGCCTTGGGAGGCAGCAGGCAGGTGTCCGTGCCCATTTTAGAGTGAGGACACAGGGGGCCAGATCTCTGACTTCGGAACTGCCCCGTCCCACCCCCGGCTCCTTAGGTGAATGGAGCTCCTGGAAAAGCATTCACAGGTCACATTGTCAGCCAAGACCTCATCTGATTTGAGCCCCATGTATCAGCTCTCAGGTACTGACTCCACCATTGGATGAAGGTCTCTCCTTCCCTCCCTTCTCTGTGAGCTGGGAGCCGAAAGGAGGAGGGACTCACCTGGGGCCCAGGCAGGGACTTGAGTAACGTTGGTTGTGACCTGCACAGAAATGAGATTGTTTCTCTTGGTTCGGCTGTCACCCCCCTGACTCACTCCCTTCTGCCAGGCTTCCCATCCATCGCACTCATTTTTCGTGCATTCCTGGTGTTAAGTTCTTACCACATGCTGGGCATTTTGCTAGGCACTTTATGTCCACATCTTATTAATCTCAACTCTCCTGTCATAGTAGGTTGTAATGATTAAATGCATGTAATGTGCCAGCTCCGTGTCATCTCAGCAAGTGTCACATCAATGCTGTGACCTCGGAGACAGCAGCAGAAGCTCCAAGGGTTAACTAGTCACAGGGCTAGTGTGGTGAAGCGGGATCCCAGGCCACACCTGCTGTCCCTCACCACAGCCCACGGACAGAGGTAGATAAGCCATGGGGAACCAGGAGGGGAGATGGCAGAGGAGGATAGAGGATCAGGAGCCTAGCTCAGGACGGTGAGGACGTAGAAGTGGAACTTCGGTCTGAGAAGATAACACATGGTTCTCCAGAGAGAGAGAGAGAAGAAGCTCATTCGAGAAAGTGTTTGGGTAAGTGGTTGAGCATCAACCTATGAGCCTGGAGATCACGGTGCCAATCCCAATCAAGATCAATAATTCTTTCTCATCATTGATGTTTCTACCTCTCTCTGCCTCTCTCTTCTTCTCTGAAATCAATAAAAATGTTTTTAAAAATAAATAAAAGTGTTTGGGGACAGTCAGGTTTGCAGGTTGGAGGGGCGGGGACAGGGAAGGGATTGGCAGACGCGAGGGGAGGAGCAGATTCATTCTGGAGTGGTTTTCTAGGAGGACGCTCAGTTCTTTACGGGGACTGCTAGGCACAGGGGCGGGGGGGGGGGAGGGGGGAAATCCCCGTTTCCCAGTGAAGCGGTTTGAGGCTAGCCACAGGTCTGCCTCTACTTCCCACTCACAGAGAAGACCCTGAGGTTTAAGCGAATCAAGCTTAGAAAATGCCAAATATAAAATTAATCTAGAACCAGTTCCAGACCTCGTCTGCTTGAGTGACAGCCAAAACTAACAGGACACGGGCCTACTTCCTTTCTGAAGGGGGCCCCAGACCTCCCCAAGTGAAAAAGCATAGAAGCTACTTGATAAGCAGCAGCTATTATTACTTCCTTTAGGATAAAACTGGTCCTTGGACGAACCCTCCACTTCAGCATCTCTCCAACTAAAATCCTACATATACTCCGTCCTCCCTTTCCTCCCTCATAGGACACTGCCCCATGGCCTTGGTGGCTACCAGGTCCCCCTCTGCCACACTTGCCCAATTCCCTGGTGAGAAGACTCACTCACCTGGCCAGCCTGAGAATCACCTGGGAAGGAAATGTGAGAACATGAGCTCATGGAGGGTAGTCTGGCTACCTTCTCTCTTCTACCCACAGCCAGGGCTGGTTCCACCCGTGACCTCCTGACCTTGTCCCCAGAGGTCAGCAGTGGAGAGAGCTTAGACTCTTATGCCTGCCTCTTCCCCTCCTGCCCCTCTGGGATTGGCCATCACAGACCCCAGAATCCCAGATCTGAGGGTCTATAAGGTGTGTCACTTGGTGGAGAAAACCTACTTCCCTCCAAGGCCCCCTGTGATGGGAGTCCCACCCACCTGGGCCAGTCCACCCTGCGGTCCTAGCTGTCACCCTCTTCCCTCCCAAGCCTGCCAGTCACACTAGGTCACTCTGCCCCTCCCTCTCACCAGGGGAACAGTTCCAGGGAGGAGAGGAGTTGTTCTTCCCTTAGTCAAGGTCTAGTTCCCATGATGACTAAGGCTCTGTCCTAACCTCTCTCTCCGGGAGAAATTTTGGCCATCACATAGTTCTCCTGGTCCTACTATAACCCTGGCCTTCTGCATTCTGTGTTACCAGTGACTTGGGCATGCCTTCTGCCTGGTTTCCCAGGGCACCGCCAGGGGTGCCTCAAGCCCAGGCTCCTCCCAGCCCCTTGCCTCCTGAGGCCAAGGCAGTTGAGCTGGAGTTCGTGCTTTGACTCTGAGGTTAGAGTTGGGGATCGAGAGCACCCAGACTCCCCAGGATCCACCCCTCAGCTCTTCAGGCCTTGAAGCCAGCACCAGCCTCAGAAGCTGCATGGCCAGGGGCCTGGGATGGAAAGACTGAGGAGCTGGAGCGGGGGCTGCTGTTGACCTCTCCCATCTCCACCAGCAACTCCCTGGGATGTGGGCACCTCTTGACCGCACAGGGGAGAGGACGTGGGTGAGGCCTTCCTGTCATGTGAGTCCCAGGGCTGCTGCTGCTGCTCCAAAGCCCCTTCCCTAAGACTCCAGAGATGGATGCCACGCAGCCAAGATAAACTCCCGGTGGCTCTTTGAGGTGCCCTAATCCAAGTGGAAGAGGAACCCCTCAGGCATCTCCCCAACCCGGATACCCTTGTCAGGAATGGTCCCAGCCTCCAGCCAGGTGCTGGTGGCCGCCCGGAGTGGCTGCCTCTCTGCTGGTCTGGACTGGGTCCCACTGGTCTTCTGCCCTTGCTCCCCCGAGGGCCTGGCCAGCTCCTCCTCCTCGGCTTTCCTCATGGTCAGGCGGATGTCTGAGCTCGAGTAGGTGTAGCCATGGCCGGCAGGGCAGATCTCTCTGAAGGCCTCTGCAAGGTCAATGGTCAGAGACACACACTGAAGATGCTGTTCCTGCAGGGACCCAGGCCCCTCCCCCACCCCTTTGGGAGACAAGGCTAATGCAGCAGCAAGGAGGGAGGGGCCCTAGGTTGGGTTGAGGAGTTGAGCAGGGAGGAAGACTAAGGTCTTCTGGCGTAAGGTTAGGTCCAGGTGGGGGAAAACGGCTACCCCTTATAGGAAGCTCGAGAGGGGCAGAGGGTTACCTGTGCCAGGCAGCGGGCATTTCTCACACTTGCTGCCCCATGCTTTGCCCACTCGGCTGCAGCAGCATATCTGCTTGGTGATCCTCTGGGTCAGAGGCAGGTCGCAGGTGCCTGGCCCCAGTGACCGGTAGCACAGCCCCTGCTGCATGGAGACAGCCTTGTCCGCTGAAACAGACATAGCAGGTGGGGATGGGCAGGTGGCCGGGGGGAAAGAAAGCACAGGCAAGAGGGCAGAGGATGGAGGAGTGGCTGGTTGTGCGCTCAGACTGGCCTGGCCTGCGTCAGTCTGGGAGTTTGGGGCCTTGAAAATGCTCACAAGAATGTTAGGAAGAACAGCGGCAGTGGAATGCTTCAGCACCTCCTCGTGTTACCTGTGTGAGGGGACCCTGATGCCTACCCACATGGAGAACCTGGTTACAAGTGCTGAGTTACAAGGGTTTGCCAAAGTCCAACACGGGCCTGGGTTGAGTGGGGAGCAGTGTGTTCTGAGGGCCACAGACGAGGTGAGAACCAAAGGCCTGATGGGGACCTTTCAAGGACACTGTCATCTTTGTAATCAAGCTCCTGGCCCAGCGTCTGATGGATTGATGGATGGCTAGATCCATGAAGCAATCCTGTGGACCACAATGGGGGTGAGCTAGTCTGGGTTTCAATAATAACAATGCCACTACCATTGTCCCCTTGCTTGTACTTATTAAAATATTTTTATTGACTTCAGAAAGGAAAGGAAAGGGAGCGAGAGATAGAAAACATCAATAATTAGAGAGAATCATTGATCAGTTGCCTCTTGCACCCCCCCTCCCCCCGGGAATGGAGCCCATAAGCCAGGCATGTGCCCTAACCAGCAATCAAACCATGAGCTACTGGTTCATAGGTTGATATCCAACCACTGAGCAACATCAACCAGGCTCCTTGCTTGTACGTTGATAGTAAATATTATAGATTATTCTGTTATAAATTACCTCAAAGGAAGATGAGGAGCCATGCCTCACTGGAAGAGACTGAAATCTTCAGAGGGACGGATGAGGGGAAGAGGTGGGGTGAAAAGGGCAACACTCAAAGTTGAGGAATTGATGATTCTGGGAATCCTGTCAGGACTCTTCAGCCCAAGTTCAACTTCCCGAACCACCATGAGCTACATGACCTCCTGGGTCTTATCTCCTTCATACTAAGGGCGATGGGTGGTGGATGAGTTTATTTCTGCCTGTCCCTCATTCTCTGGTAACAGCATCCTGGTTTTCCTGTGGATTCACCCTTTGTTTCCTCGGTCTTGGTCTCCACTTCCCAGTTGAAGGAGTATAGTCCATATCCTTCTCACAGTGATTGAATCAGGGATGGGCACTTGATAAGTAGGCCCATGATGTTAATTAGCTTTGGGACTCTTCCTGGATTATTAGAAAAGATGCTTTTTATGTTCCTATTTGTTGTTCTTGAGTTTCAAGGGTGGAAGGTTATAGGCCAAGAGCAGTGATTGGCAAACTCATTAGTTAACAGAGCCAAAAATCAACAGTACAACGATTGAAATTTCTTTTGAGAGCTAAATTTAAAAATATATATATATATTATATATATATATAAGTATTATCTATCTATCTATCTATCTATCTATCTATCTATCTATCTATATAATTGAGTTTTTACAGAGAGGAAGAGAGAGGGATAGAGAGTTTGAAACATCAATGAGAGAGAAGCATTGATCAACTGCCTCTTGCACACCCCCTACTGGGGATGTGCCTGCAGCCAAGCACTCAGCACTTGTAACCAGGTTCTCCATGCCCTTGACTGGAATTGAACCTGGGACATTTCAGTCCGCAGGCTGACACTCTATCCATTGAGCCAAACCGGTTTCGGCGAGAGCCTAATTTTTTAAACTTAAACTTCTTCTAACGCCATTTCTTCAAAATAGACTCGCCCAGGTTATGGTATTTTGTGGAAGAGCCACACTCAAGGGGCCAGAGAGCCACATGTGGCTAGTGAGCCACAGTTTGCCGACCACGGGTCTAGAGTGTCTGGTGGGTACCTTTGAAGGAATAATAAATCAACAACACCAAAGGAAGAGAGCAAGAGACATCCTAATGACACTGTGGTGCCTGGATCCAGCCAAGCCTGAGGCATACCTACCTCTGGACCTCCTAGTTGTGTGGACCAATGAATCATTTTTGCTTTCAGTGGTTTGAGTTGGGTTTCTGTCACTTGCAACCCAAAGACTCCTGACAATAAACCTTCACAGTGAAATATGAGAAAGGGTCCTGTCCAATTTATGTGCCAGACCCGTCCCTGAACCATGGTCTCCAGGTTCAGTCTCTGCCTCCAGCAGCCACTTCCCTGGGGCTATCGTAGGGAAGGGTGTGGTCCTTTCGAGGTGACACAGCTGGGAACATCAGCAGGCTGCCCAGTCCAGAGGGCCCTTGTAACTGTTCCACTAGCTCTTTGCCAAGAAGGGGGGCAAAGCTCAGAAATGAAGGGAAGAGAAACTTAGTACTTCCCCCTACCCACTTCATAGATATGAGTCATCAGAGGAGGCTGGATGGGGTAACAGTAAGGAGGGGAGAGGGAGAACACTCAAGGGCCACCTCTGCTTCCCTGCATTAAAGCTCTTTCTGCACTAATATATCATCTCTGATGTTAAATACAGTGGTGGGTGAGGTGGGGAGGAGAAGAGCTGTGTGCTCCTCAAGGCCTTGATTGCCTGTCTCTGTCACCATGAGAGCTGCCTGACATATCCTCCCCACCCTGGGCCCCGCCCTCCCTGGGTGTCCCCTCTCAAGGCTTTGACCATCTCCTATCCCTGAGGAGACACACACAGGGCTGAGGCCTCCCTTCACACGGGCGCTCCCTCTGGGTGGCGCTGGAGTCATGTCCATTCTGGGGTCTCCTCAGACCCAGTGCCTGGCCGTTTGCAGACTGAGGGAGCTCTGCTGAGTGGGGTGGCCAACCTGACCTGGGCTGTCCCTTGGCAGAGGCCAGTCAGTACTGGTTTCATTCAGCTCTGGCCAGGCCTCCCTGCCCCAGGAAAGCCCCGTCCGGACCGTGGCGTCAGCTCTGCCATCGGAGAGGGACTGTCGGCCTGGGCCTCTTCCCGCTGGAAACCGCAGAGGTCACTGGAAACAGCTGCCTGGGTGTACACGCACGCACACACGGACATGATGCCAATAGGACTCGTGACACGTATGTGTTGCGGATGCAGAGGCACACGCAGAACCAAGGGGATCACAGGATTGTGGGGAGGCCTGGGGCCGGCGGCAGTGGCATTCCTGCTGCAGACAGGCCCCCTCAGGCGCCGAAGAGGCAGCCGCTGCTCAGCCAGATGTTAGGACAGAGGCAACACACATTCTCCGAAGGAAATGAGGCCAAAGACGGAACAGAAACGACGAGAGGAAAAAAACAGGAGTAGAAAATCCCAAACTGCAAAGTCCCAAGAAATGCCTAACGCCCGAAGTGGAGCAGCAGCTGCCTGTCCCGGCAGGCAGGGATGGACCCGTTTTTTGTATGCCGAGCCCAATTCCAGGTCAAGTAGCAGCCTCTGGGCCTGGGGAAGGGGCCTGGGGGAAACTTCTGCTCTGGGCCTGGCCCGTGAACCCCACGGGTCCCATCTTGCCGCCTGGCGTCCCCCACCCCGGTTCCCCACCCGCACTCACACACGCAGCGACTCCTGGACGGATCCAGCATGAGGCCAGGCCTGCAGGTGCACAGGTAGCTGCCCCTGGTGTTCACGCACTCCGCGTCCCGGCACAGGCCCAGGGTCAGGCACTCGTTGATATCTGCAGGGTTGGAGGAGACGACCATGGACCCGCCCCATGAGGTCTGACGGAGGGAAGGGCTGGGGCAGAGAGCTTCCAATACTTTCTCCAAGTGATGAAGGGACAACGACAAAAGGGCTGCCCTTTATTACGCTGACCCCTCTCTCTGTGCCTCACTCTCCCATCTGTAAAATGGGGTTCAGGAGAATAGCTACCGGATGGTCTCACATTAGGAGGCCAAAACAAATTAAAAAATGGCAAATCACTTGGTCCTGGAACTGGTCATAATGATCACGATATTAAGAGCTAATGTTTACTGAGCGTCTCTTATGTGCCCGGTGTGTTACACGTGGTGCCTCATTCAGTTTCACAAAGTTTCATCAAATAGGTCCACATGTCCTCATTGTATAGGAGGGGAAACGGCGGCTCCGGGAATGACTTGCCCAAATCCACTCCACTGGTGTGTGGCATGCTGGGATGCAAACAGGGGAAGCGGATAAGGGGACAGCGGGGGAAGGGGGGGTGTTGGAGGGCGGAGAAAGGACTTCCGGTCCCTCCCGCTCAACCTGCCTCGAGAGCCCCCAAAGCAGCTCCCAGGCCCACGTCTGGGGAACAGGCACGCAGCGAGCTGCAGGATGGAGGTTCCAGCCAGGGGGAGGAGGAGGCAGGTGCTGAGCAACCGTTTAGGTGTCTGTCTCCACCTGGGGCCGCAGCCATGCCTAAGCCATCCCTGTGTACCAGCACCTGGCACAATGCATGCAGCTCAGAGGAACACCCCAGAATTACCCCGTGGGAGCAGCAGAGAAGGATGGAGTGAGAGCAGAGGTGGCGCATGTGGGTGCAGAGTTGGGTGGGTTCCTTTGCAAATACGGAGACCACCGCCCCGGACTCAGGAAGGGGGAGCTTTCAGGGGCAAGGCCTCCTGGTTGGGCCTCTGAGCATCCTGTACCCTGGGGCTTAGTGGCTGGAGAGCAGAGCTCATCTGAGATTCTGGAAATAACGTCACCTTCCCCGGCTGGGAAGCCACTGGGCACATTTAGGCATGAACAGCCTTACCGCACCCTCCAAGGGCAAAACCAAGACGACTCCACACCACAGTCCGCCAGGCCCTCAAGCCCACTGCCCCTGAGGGAGGCGGGGCCTGGGCTGGGCTGGGCTGGGCTGGGCTAGATCAGATGTCTGCCCTTTTGCCTGATGCAAGCATCTTTCTTACCCACAGGCCGGAAATCGCCTCTGGGGCCTGGCATCCCACAGGCAGGTAGCCACCCCGGAGCGTCCTCAGGCTCCAGCCTCCAGGGGGAAGGTCCCTTGGAGGCCATCTGGGTCAAGCCCTGGTCTCCAACCCAGCTTCACCCAGAGCAGCCACACAGACAGCGGTGCGTGCAAGGCGGCCTCCCCTTGGGGAAGCTCAGCTCCTCGCTGACTTCCGCCAGCCCCAGCAGCCTCTCACGGCGGGAAGGCCCGCTCCTGTCATACCTACTGCCAGGCCCGCCGCCGGCAGGCTCCTCACTCAGAGCCAGGGCTGCCGGTGAAGCCTCAGGACCCCTCCGTCCCGGTCCCACTGCCCACCCCACTGGAATCCCCTACAAAAGCCATTGCTGAGCCCCTCTCCCACCCTCTGCCCCGAGGGGCCCCTGGGCCTGGCTGCTCTGGGGCTTTCTAATGCAGAGTGCTCTGGGCCTCTGCTGGCCTCACAGAGCGTGCCAGCCAGGCCAGTCTAGCAAGGCCAGGGGTGTGCTTCATGGTCCCCTCTCCTCCGCCTGTGCCTCCTCCCCAACCCTAACCCCACCCCCCGCCCAGCTGTGGGTTGAGACAAGGGAAGCCCCAAAGGTGCTTGTTGGGCAAAGTCCACAGAGGTCTCTGCTAGCTCAGGCTGACCTGGTCTCCCAGCCTGGAGTCCAAAGTCTTCCCATTAGGGAGGTCAGCCCAGGAGGAGAGTGGATGTTCGGGGTGTGGGGTGGCACCCTCAGATATGGCACCACACAGTCCTAGAGAGGTACGTGGCCCAGGTGCGGGAGAGGGTGGGTGGAGATGGGAAAGAAGGGATGGGCTTGACTCCAGGTCCTTTCTCAGGTGGATCTGGCCCAACACCTGATTTCCTTAAGCCTCTGGAACCAGCAAACCCCAAAGTTTCCCCAAGCTGGGGTCTAGAGATCCCCAGCGGAGACCATGCAGGCAGTGTCCACTGACGATGCAGGGTGGGCAGAGGTGTTCCTGCAGCACCAGGCCTCCATCATTTCCCTTCCCCAGGCCCAGCCGTGGCCCTGGTCATCCTTACCTTGGCAGTGAGTGAGGTTGAGTCTCTTGTACCCCTGGGGACACTCCAGCTGGCCATTTTCAATCACAGGAGAGGCTGAGGAGTGAAGGTACAGACAGGTCTCAGTGAGGGCCCAGGGGTTCCTTTGTCACACATGCTGGGAAGAGGGGTGCAGTCTGGATGTCCAACTGTATCTCCTTAGCTGAAATCCCTGCCCTGGCTCCCACCAGGCTACTCTCAGTCCACCTTGCCCTTAATAAAAATGATACTAAGTCCCTATATATTTTGCATATGAATATATTACATACCATATATATTACTCTGTATCAATGTAATACAATATCACATATGATTGACACAGTTACTACTTTTTTAAAAACTTTTTGTTATAGGTTTGCAGGAAGTTGCAAAAAAATAGTCCCTGAGTATCCATCACCCAATTTCTCCTGGGTGAAAAACATATGTTTTTAAAAAATATATTTTTTATTGATTTTTAGCGAGAGAAGAAGGGAGCTGGAGAGAGAGAAACGTCAATGTGAGAGAGAAACATTGATCCTGCGTGCCCCCAATCAGGGTACGAATCCAATACCCAGGCATGTACCCCTGACCGGGAATCGAACCAACAACCTTTCAGTGCCCAGGACAATACCCAACCAACTGAGCCACACCAGCCAGGGCTGTTTTACTATTTTTTTTTTTTTTTTAACATCTGGATACAATTCACACCCCAGCTCAGTTCAGTCTATTTTGATCCTTGGTTTAGCTGACAAAGTATCCTAGATCAAGAGGGAAGAAACTCATTAGTGAATGCCCTTATAAAACCATGACATTTATTTTTCCCTCACATTTACCAATCATGCGATGCTGTTGAAATCTGGCTAGTAAAATTCCATCTTTCCGTAGGGAGGTTGGTTAGTCGTTCTTACAAATTAAATTGTAAGTTAGAAAATTCCAGCTCTCGAGTTTTCCAAACGGAGATGGCTTACAGCATCCCATAATAAGGAAATAATTCTCAGTGTTTCGGTATTGGTACACCTCCTGCCTTGACCTCACAACATTCCCCTTTATAGAGAAATTAAAAACTTTTTAATTAAAAAAAAGAAAACACAGGGAAAAGTCTCCATTACTTTGGGTTCACCTTCACAGGTTCTGGGACAGGAAAAGTCTCCATTACTTTGGAGGGACAGACTAGGGTGTCAACATTGCTGAAAAGCTCTAGCAGGTAGCAAACTACTGACAGCCATCTGTCACCACTGAAAAAGGCAGCAGATGTAGAATATCCATCTTTTTGGTTTTTAACGAAGAGTAAAAACCAAAATCCATCTTGAAGTTGGACAATTCCTCTGCCAAGAAAGACACAGGCAGTCATTCTCAAAGGGCTCAAGGGATTTTCACAGACAGTATTCCAACACAAAGCTGCAGAGAGATACCATCAGACCGTAAAGGTCTTGTTTTGTAAAGTTAGCTGCGTGATGACTTCCGGTAGCAATTTATCTTCTGGCTTTAACTCGATTACAGCCTGAGCTGGCCCATGAAGTCTGCAGTGGAGGAATTTTACATCCGGTCCTCTCCACCGCTGCTACCTTCCTAGTCATAACATCAGTGGGTAAACTTCCAAAGCTGTTCAGTAAAGCTTATTTTTACTCACGAAGTCCTTTACTGTTGAGATTATATGTCCTCTGGTTCATCCTTTCTTTAGTGGTTCTTGTCCTGCCTGGGTGGCTCAGTTGGTTGGAGTTCATCTCACACACCAAAAGGTTGTGGGTTCAATTCCCGGTCAGGGCACATACCTAGGTGTGGGTTCAGTCCTCAGTTGGGCAACTAATCTATGTTTCTCCTCTCTTCTTCTCTTCTCTTCTCTTCTCTTCTCTTCTCTTCTCTTCTCTTCTCTTCTCTTCTCTTCTCTTCTCTTCTCTTTCCTCCCCTCACCCCACCTCTCTCTCATTCTCTTTCTCAAAAATCAGTAGACACATTCTCTGGTGAGGATTAAAAAGAAAGATAGTTCTTTATATATTTTATTGTTGAAATGGATCCTTGCAAATACCAAGAGATGGGTACACCTATAGAGCAAAGTTTGAGTGGCTTGTTTTTAAATGTTTTTTTTTTTTGGTTTTTTTTGTTTTGTTTTTTTTTTTAAATTAAACAGTTTGACTCCTGTCGTTACCTGCTATCTCTGGGCATATCTCACGGCAAGGTCAGAAGAGCTAATGAGTTGCTGGGTAAATTTGCCACAATGTATATCACTGAAGGCCACGGCCTTTTTCATCATTTGGATCCGGGGCACCACTTGGTGAAGGTTGCTGGTTAAAACTAGACGCCATCATTGAAACCCTCCGTGAGCCCAGCACTGCTGTATGCTGTGTGCTGTGATTGGCCGGACGGACAGGAACACACCACCTTTTCTGGGAACTCCGTCTGCCCTGCGCTGTGTGTGCCAAACATGACCGCTGACCGTCTGATAGACGGGTCAAGTGAGGACATACATGAGTAAAGCGTCATTTTTTAAGATAAAAGGGATGTGGGTTTAAGTTGTAATCTTCATGCCTGCTGTGGACGGTCTTGTTCAGGGTTTGCATGCTGCTCCACCGTGGGGGCTAGGCTCAGCCTAAAGTACTCGAGCTGTGTGGTTCTCAGTGAACAGGAAGGGCAGGTATCCCCACCCCTGACACCCGCCCCCAGCACCCGCCCCAGGCACGCCTCTCCAATGCTCCCAACACACACAGGCCTTCCCTTGTCATAGCACTTAACACGGGGGGCTGTCTGCTTGCCTGTCTCCCCCCATAAAGTGTAAGCTCCGCGAGGACAAGGTCCTTGTCTTCTTCCTTGTTGCTATGTCTCTGGAGCCGAGCGCAGCAGAGGGGGCCGTATGGCACTCAGTCACAGTGGAATGAATAATCACAGCAAACGCTACAACAGCACTCACCAGGGGTCAGGCCCTGCTATGAAGGCTTTTCATATAGTAACTTATTTAATCCTCATAACAGCTCTAGAGGTGCTTACTATTATTATCCCCATTTTATAGGTGAGCAAACCGAGGCACAGAGGATTAGGACACATGCCCTCGGGCACCCAGCAGGTGGCTGGAGCCGGGATTATGATCCCTGGCATCTGCCTCCAGAGGATAAATTCTGAACCATTCCTCTCCACTGCCTCCGAATAAATAAATGATGGACTTCACCGCAAGCCTTAGGAGGTGTGTAAGCTGAGAATCCTAGGGTCTGGAGGTCACAGGAAGACGCCTGGGACCCTCCCTTTTTTTTTTTTTTTTAAAAAAACAAAACAAGGGATCAAAAGGAGGAGGTAGAGGAGCTATTTGATGCTGGGCAAATGCTCCACAAGGTATAGAACCGAAGGGCTCTGCAGGTCCGATAAAGGATACGGTGAGGAACCTGTGCTGCCCTCATGGCCTCTCAGCTCAAGCCTCAGAGAGCAGACAGAGAGGGGTTTGTGAGACCTGGACAGAGAGAGAGAGCGAGAGTGTCTGGTAACCCATGATTTCCAAGGAGACACTTGGAAGCTGCAGGTGACCTTGCATTTGGGACTTTTAGACCCCAGGAGGCCACAGCAGCTCCTGAGGGGTCAGCTGGGATCACCCTGAACTCCAAGGATTCACTCTGAATCTACAAAATACCCGGGAATCATGTAGGGCAGACATATGTGAGGAAACGGGGACATGTGCGCCTGGAACTCAGGTCTTCCGGCCTCTAACCCTGGCCCTGTGCCTTCACTGCCGCACCTCAGCCTGGGCACACACCGGGAAGGAAGCAGAGGGCCACTGGCGGCAGCCTGCCCCTGCCCTGCGCATTCTCCCCCTTGGCTGCCGAGACTCCCGGGAAGGCCTCAGCCAGAGCAAACCAATGGCTGGGACAGTTTTGGCCCTGACCCCATGACAGAGCTCAGGGAGGAGGAGGTGGAGACATAAGTCTGGCCACAGGACTTTCACAAGCCGTGCCGATCTCTGCTGTGATGACAGATGGCCTGCCATTCACCCCTCTGCCCAGAGAACACACACACCACACACACACACACACACACACACACACACACACACACTCACACAGATGAAGCTGAGCTCGATGTGTACGGGCACGTGATCAGGCTGGAGCTGAAACCCCCCATTTGTAAACCTTGGGCAGGTAAGCTGGAGAGAAACTTCCACATCCCAGAGTGGGCGAAAGAGGTGGGTGCTGGGGCAGCCGGACCCGCATTCAATCCCTGGCTCCAGTCTGCAGAGCTGTGTGACCTGAGGCACATCGCTTATCCCCTTTCAGTCTTAATTTCTCTCATCTGTCGACGTGTGGACAGACACTCAGTTCATGGGCTGTTGTGAGGATTAACTTGACTGAAAAATCAATGCAGTCTGAGCTAGCGCAGCCTGCCACAGCCTGTAGGCGCTCCCCAAGGATTCCTCCCTCCCTCCTTCCCTACCTCTCTCCTTCCCTCCCTCCTCCCCTCTCTCCCTCCCTCACTCCTTTCTTTCTTTCTTTCTTTCTTTCTTTCTTTCTTTCTTTCTTTCTTTCTTTCTTTCTTTCTTTCTTTCTTTCTTTCCTTCTTTCTTTCTTTCCTTCTTTCCTTCCTTCCTTCCACACAATCTGAAGGATAGCCTGCTGGAGAGTCTTGGGCAAATTCTCAACTTCTCTGAGCCTTAATTTTTTTTTTGTCAGTAAAATGGGGATGAAAATTCCTTCCTTTGGTGGGTGAGGGGTGGCGGGAATTGTGAACACTGAACAAGTATGTAAAACTCAGCACGATTCTTGTCACATGTTGGTAATTATCATAATATTCATTGTTCCAGACTTTCCTCCTTGGTGAAGTCCTAATGGACCCTCCCAATCATTATAGAAGTTCTGCTCACAGATGGGCTCTGACCGCTTCCTCGGGTGGCACTGGAGCCAGAGTGGGCATCTCAGTCCCCACAAGCAGTGAGGTGGAGAGAGGTCTGGTCCCAACCCTGGCTCAGACAGTGCCATCCGGCCACCCTCCCCCGTCCCGTCCTGGAGCTCCAGGCCAGAGGCACCACGTGTCAGGGACACTCCCGCTTGTGTAGGGGGGTGCTAACATGATCCCAGGCTTAGTTCCCAGGATGCTCCAAGTTC